TACAGTGATTATGTCCTCTCCATGGTGTCAGCTCTTCCACTCCATTGCTTCAAAATGCTCTCCTTCTCTGTCTCTTTAAGCCTAGATTTGGAACCGACTTTCCACTGTCGTCAGTCCCTGGGAGCTTCAACATCAATCATTCCCTTAACCCTACCACATAATTAAAATTTGGCCCATTATTTGATCTCTTTGAAATACTCCTTTAAGCATTTTTCATGCCAGACCCCAGAATGGTAGAGATGCTCTTAAAAAGACTTCCTAAGAAAGCAAGAGTTAAGATCTAGAATGGTGAGAGAAAATAGCATGTGCAAAGGCTCATGGCGGGGAGTATATGGTGCTTACACAACTGCGGGGAAATGTGGGCAGCTGAGCCTTCAACGGGGACGGAAAGTATAAGTGCACAAGAGGCCGGAGAGGTAGGAGATATTGTACTCACCGGCCTGGAGTGGTAGGAATAACAAGGAGAATGGTGCAGATCCAGGTGGAAAGTTGACAATATGCGTTATCCTAAAAATTGCTGGAGGATATTGTTTTGGTTAAGGAAGTAAGATTGGCAGTATGCTGTGAAAAATCTTTCTGGTAGGGACTATCATTAATAATAATATTTAATATTTTGGTTCCAGGATGTGATATATGAGACTGGCTTTATGTATTTGTTTGATATTACACATATACTATGATCTTTTGATTTGGGAAATTATTTAATCAGTAAGTGAGAAAATACATGCAAATAAAAATGAAAGTCACATTGTACAAATCGATTTCAGACTGAAATCTAAATTCTGTATACAATTTGACTTTGCTATAAACATTAACAATGTAAATCAAAGCCACATCTTTACATTTATGTCATATGTGGTATTGTTTTTCAATAATGTATTAATATGAGTTTCAGAAAATGAGCTTCCATGTGCAAAACTATACCAGAGTGAAACCTGGAATAAAAATGCACAAGTTTATGTTTTCTTTCTATCGCACTTATTGTATATTTACATATTACATATGGATTTTATATTTAAATTACTTATACAAAAGTTAAAGGTAACGTGTTTATCATCACCTTCTAAGTCTATGTTAAGTGCTTTATTTGTTTTTTATATTTATAATTATGCTATAAAATAGGCACTATAATTTTAGTACCAATTTATTTTTTTCTGTTTTAAAAATTTTATTGGTACAGTTTTGTATACATAATGATCACCATCATAATAGGGAATTTGTACTTGTATATGATACATCTGGAGTCTTTTTTCCCCCATTCCCCTCTTCTGCCTTAACCTTTCTTCTCCCCCATATTTACAAAGATTTGTTCACATTTTTCTGTCTCTTCTCTTGTTTTTCCTTTTTTTTCCACCTCCCACTCCTCTGTTTTCCCTCTCATTTGAACATTTTTTTCCCACTTTCCAATATCCAGCCTCCATTTTGGTTCGTATTTACCCTTTTGGTTTCTCATACAAGAGAAACAATGTGATATATAGATGTGTGTGTCTGAATTATTCATCTTAAACGTATGGTCTCAAGGTGCCCCCATTTACTTAAAAATTTCTCAATGATGTCATATATATTATTGATAATAAGGTTGTATGTTTTTGTTCATATTTTGCAAGTGATTTTCTTTTCACAATAGGCTCTATATAACATGATAAATGTATACACAATAAACTTTATAAAAAGTTTGTGGCTTACATAAAAAATAATACTAATCTGTGAATCTGCCTCTGGGTTATAAAATAGAATCCAGCCAACATGCCATAACTATGGTTTACTTTCCCATTGCTTTCCTTTTTCTCTAAGGTTATTATTATCTTAGATTTTGTGTCTTTTTATCCCTTTAATTTCAAGTTCACTCAATAATATATTAACTTTTCTTGGATTTGAATATTATGTAAGTGGAATTACGATTGTATATGTATACATATATTCTGGTGTGATTTATTTCATTGACCGTATGATACTGAGATTCACATACCCATAGTTTTATTTTCATTACTTATCTATCACCCTTTTAATATACTATGTGTCTACCAGTTTAAGTGCTGATAATTATTTGGGCTATTTCCTGTTTTTGCCATGATAAAAAATGCTGTTTTGCATCTTCTTGTACAGTTCCCACACATTGATAGGGATGTTTATACCTGAGAGTAGAACAGAGGGGTAATTGAGAGTGCATGATCTCAACTATACTAGAGTTATTTAACAAAATATTGTACCCATTTATGCTCCCATTTGAGCAGCATAATAATTTGACCACTTTCAATTATCATCTTGTCACATTTTAAAAATCTTGCTGGACTGATTGGAAAGTTATCTTCAATTTCTGTACTTTCTATTACAAATTACATTGAGCATCATTTTTTTTTAATTTAGTTTAATACTGTGCTTTAAATTTCCAAGGCTTTAAGTTATTTGTTATTTATCTATAAGTTCATTTCATTTTATGCTCCAAAGATTAATTTCCTTCAGTGTGAAACTTAGGTACTTTCAATGGCCTAGAATGCATTATCTGATCCAAAGTCGATTTCTATGTGATCTTGTCTCTTGCTACTCCTCTTCTGGCTTAATTTTATCCACTCTGTTCTTAATACTATTCCTCAAACACTTAAGCATTCCGCTACTTCAGAAATTAGTTTTCTGTCTTAAGGAAATATTCATGATGTCCTAAATGTGAGTGATAGAAAATTTCACACAAATTTTCATAAAAGCCAGTTAAGTGTAAAACAAAGGAGGAAACCAAACCCCAAATGGTAAAGCTCATGTGCCATTTTCCATGAAAACATGCCTCATAAGTCCATATGCTCTAGATAGGTTTACTGTAGCAATTCTAAACAAGAGCTGTTTTTTAAATGCACTGTGTGATATAATTGTAGATAAGATCCTAATGGTATATAATTAATTGACAATGTGAAACAGGAAGAAAAGGGCTAAAGGTGTAGGGGAAGTGGGAAGGGCAGGGAAAAGGAAATAGGGAAAAGAAAAAAATATGAGAAAATTATAAAATGGAAATAAAGTATTTGTAAATAGGGAAGGGAGGAGGGGGGTGAAGAGAGAGCAGGAATAAGGGGAAAAAATGAGAACCAAGACCTGTCATGTAAAGGTACAGGATCCCAGTAATGAATGTAACTGTACTGTATACCTGAAATGTACCAATAAACTCAATGAGAAAAAAAATGCATTATGTGAGTAAATGATTGCCAATAAAATGTCATTAATCTATTTGATAGAAGGTACACTTATCAAATATACTCAAAGCAAATTAATGAAGGTCATGTTCCATATTTAATTTTTAGGTTCGTGCATTGGTTCTTAGCGAAACGTGAATCAAAGCCCAGGTGCTTTAATCCTTTGCTTCCTACCTCTTTTCTAGGTTTGGATGTTATCTTCCAAACACAGTGGGTCTTCTCTAGGCTCTAGACAGGAAACAAGTACGAGTTGTTCTTCCGTCCTCTCTCCCTTTGCCCCTCCCCTTTCTCCTTCCCTTCTATGCCCCGCCCTTTACTTCCCCTCTAGTCCCCTTCCCTCAGTCCCTTTTTTTTTTTCTCCTTCCATCTTTCTTTCTTTACTCTTTTCTTTCAACTCTCTTGTCAAGAAATCTTTTGTTTTTCCTTAGGTCTCTCCTGTCTAGGCCTTGCTCGTGTTCTTACTGTTGCCCATTCACTGTCAAGTTTGGTTGTTATTCCAACTTCCTTCAATCACTTTCTTCTCTACTCTTTCATTAAAGAAGCTGGGTAGGTTAGGGATTTAGCTCAGCGGTTCGGTGGCCTGCCTTGCAAGCACAAGGACCCGAGTTCAATCCCTGGTACCAAAAAGAAGAAAAAGAAAAAGAAAGAAGAAGTTGAGTACTGCCACTCCTTTCTTTATTTTTATTGCTAATCTGTGACTATTTATGAATGCTGTTTTAGTTACTTTTCTCTTATTGGTGAGAAAAATACCTGGCATCCAAGGTTAAAGGAGGAAAGGTTTATTCAGATCACAGTCTGTAGAAGTTTCAGTCCACAATCATCTGGCTCCAAGGCAGGGTGGCGTGGCAGGCAGGCCTGGCAAAGGTGAAGCAGTTCGTGGTGGGCAGAAAATAGCAGAGCCACGTGGGATGACCACGCTCTTTCTATCCATTATATTTTATCCAGGCTGCTTAGGGTACATAGCACTTACACCATTAACCCTACCGCCCTTGATCCTAGCTCTGTACCCTGAATCAATTCCAGTGCCACACTCTCTAGATCCAGCCAACTTTTAAAAAAGCCCCACTTGTGACTGCATGAGGGTATCTAGACATACACCATAACAGATGCTAATCGGCAAAGTCCACATTATTAGGGGAGACTGTCTTCTGCTTTTATAGTTCCTAAAAATACATTTTCCATCTTCCCGATTTCTTTTTCTTCTCCATTATTTACCTTGTGATGCTCCGGATTGGAGAACCAGACAATGTCTGGAAATGTGGAGTGACTGGTCATCTTGCGTTCATACTGCTTTCGTTCCCAGAAGCCTCCATTAGTTTGAAACAGCTCTGGAGAGTGATTTGTACTTTAATAAAACTTCAGAATGACCTTAGTAAAGAGGAGTAAACTATTGTGCAGTTTCAATTCATTAGTGACAGGTGTCTCCTGCGGATGCCACTTTGCTTTACTTATTTTGAATTTCTCCTAAAGTGTGAGTATTATCGACAGTGGCTATAATACACATGTGTGCGTTTCTATGTTTGCATAGACTGTAGCATGCATTGGTTGGTGCAGTATTGATCTTTCTCACTTAAAATAATTAATTGCTTTAAAACACATCTTGGGAATCATGAGATCCTTTTATGTCAAGATGTTTTTGAATAAAAGTCATTTAATAAATCAGTAATATCGACTTCTGTAGATTTATTTAAACATAAACCTATAGTTTTTATATATAAAATCAGAGCACATGTCCTTGACAATGATGAATTCTATATCTTGAGATAAGATAAGGTAATTTTTATACTTGGTAACATTAATTATGCACACTGTTTTTTCTAGACTCATCAGAAGAATGTGAAGTACAAACTAATTTGAAAATTTGGAGAGAACCACTGAATATTGAATTTAAAGAGGACAGTCTTTCCTATATGGAAAAGTTATGGCTTAAAAAACACAGGAGGTATATTCTGAATTTTCAATATTATTAGGAAGAATATAAATCTTTTTGTTTGTGTGACATGTCTTTCTGTAGTAATTTTATATGTATGTTTTTTATTTGCTGAAATAATTTAAAAATAATATTAAACCTCTCTGAAGCATCTACTATCTCAATAATAATTTTAATTATGTTTATTAATATGATGCTTCAGTGATTTAGGATTGTCTTGAAAAATGGAATTGTGTTTTTTTAAAATAAGGCACATGTATAGCATAGAATTTAAGAAAAATAGCAAATGGTGCCATAAAAGAATACTTTGAACATGTAATATTGTGAACTTTTTACATTATCGTGAACTTTTTAAAATTTTGTTATTATTAGTATATGTTTGTGTTACATGTTTGCTTTACATGATTACATTCACCATGTACATGACACATTTTCACTATTTTATGTCTCTTCAGCCCTTTCCATCTTTTCACCACATTTCCACTTGAAAAAGATGTATCTCCCTGTTTCCTATTATTTGTTATTTGTTTTGCTCTTTGTTTTATTTATGTTTTGATTTTCTCATATAAGAAACCATGTGCTGAGCGTGGTGGCACACGCCTGTAATCCCAGCACTTAGGAGGCTGAGGCAGGAGGATCGCTGTGAGTTCAAGACCAGCCTGGGCTACATGGTGAGTTCCAGGTCAATCTGAACTACATAGTGAGATCCTGTCTCAAAAAACCAAAAAAATAAAGTAACCATGTGTCTGGTTTTTTTCACTTAACATTATGATCTCAGTGTGCCTCTGTTTTCCTGTAAGTTATTCAAATTTATCCTCTTCATAGCAGAATAATTGTCCATTATGTATAAATAGCACAATTTCTTTATCCATTTTTCTGTTTGTGGATGTATAGGCCACTTTCAAGATTTAGCTATGATGAATTTGCTACTACATGGCATAAATATTTGAGAATCTACTACTAATTAGATCTTTAACTTTATAAATTTGGTAATAGTAATCAAATGTACTTCATCAAAAGACTTTCATTAGTCACACCATTACTTGACTTGTTTTTTCAAAATAAATTATTAAAACGTTAAAACAAAAATGTGTACATGTTATAGCCATTTGCAACTTTAGCACCATTTAAGACCCATAGGAATTCACACTTTTTAGGTGCATTTAATGGTTATAAGCTCAATTTTCCCTAAAAGAGAGCTGTTCACACTTCATTACGCCAGACAGCTGCTCAGTTGTAGAACTTTTTTATCTCACTCATGCTAACATTGTTAAATTTAACTGATCTTCATTTTTCTTTTAACAACATAGATATTTTTCTATGTCTGGCTTGTTTCACTTATCATAGTGATTTCTAAACCAAGAAAATAAATAACTCCATCTACAGGTTTAGTGGATAAGGAAAATACACACACACACACACACACACACACACACACACAGAGCCAGAGGAATATTATTCAGCCTTAAAAGAGAAGGTAATCCAGCTATTTGTGACAGCATGAAAGTATTTATCTTAACTCTATACTTCCAGAAAATTTTTAAATCTCATAAAGTTTCATGAAAGTATTTGCATTGAGAGCATTTTAAGGGCAATTAACTGGTATTCTGGTTCCATCTGTCTTTTTATTGAAATATAATAAAGCTGATCACAAAAATACCTGGGGAAAGCTTTTACACTACTGATAATTGGGTTTAACACAAAATTGATCTAAAAAGTAATGTCTACAAGGGTGAGTATGAGACTCAGTAATTTTCAAAAAAATTTTTCATGGCCAGCCATTCTAATGTAATGACTGACACTGATTCACAGAACAGATTCAGTATGACTTAGCATATGTTTAGTCAATTGAATTAATCAATGCCCAATAAATACTTTCTAAATATTTATTTAGGGGAAACATTATGAGTTGAACAGAATTGTTTTTTATGTGGCATGACTTAAAAAAATGACCCCAAGTCCAAATCTCCATAACATAGATTAAGTTCACTGACTGTCTAATTGGTCATGAGCAAATTACTTGAATTTTTGTGGTCCAATTTTTCAATATCTGCAATATTGAGTGTAGAATACACAATTTATAGGACTTTCTAAATTCCAATACTTCAGGAAATAGATTCTTTAAATCTTCAATTCAAGGACTTTACTCCAAGTTAGAGAAGTACTGCCTTTGTAAAGAAAATTAGTCTGAAATACAGGACATTTATTCATATGTGTATTGTTACTAAAATAGTAGACCCATGACAGACTATACAGCTGTTTCTGGTGTCCAAGTGCCACTTATCCTTGACATTATACTCTTAGATGTCACCCTCTCTAAGTTTTTTAAAGCATAAACCTAAGTCATAAATATAAATATTCCATCCTTATCTGATATATACATTACGTATATTAGGAAATGCGCATTACCAGAGGCTGCCTGAATAATGCCATGTTTTTATTGCTCCATGGGCTTGAGAAAGCAGATTGCTTGTAGCCAAATCCCTTCTGCGCATTCACTCCCTGAATGACTTTGAACAAGTGGGTTCACATTTTTTGTCTCAACCTGTAAAATTAAGATAAAACTTGTGCTTCCTTATTACATATCTACTAAATTTTAATGTACCAGAATTAGAACAGATCCTGGTGCATTTTAAGTTTTCTATTGATAGCAACAACTAATATCCTTAAGATGGAACTGCTTTATACCTTGGGATGTTATGCACTTGCATGGTCTAAATGGCATGTGCAGCTATTTATATTATTGATTAAATATGACTTCTTTCCCCAGGAATCTGGGAATGTCATCTAGAAGAAAGCACGCACTTTGCTCTCTGAGAATCCTTGGGTTTCACTGACTTCCATCTGAAATGGGTTGTGTTAATCTTCATTGTTAATTATGTACCTGAAGCCACAGCCAGCACACCTTACAGTGGTATCGTGGAAGTGTATCTTATTACCCCACCGCTGTGGTGGAAGTTTAAACAAATGTCTTCAAGCTCCCTTTGAACTCATCAAGACAATGCAGAGGTTGTGAGATAAAACACATACTTGTAAATTAGCTTTTGAAACAGCACATTATGTCTCATGGACTCCATGCGGCTTCTGAGAGAACACTGACTTCTATCTTAATTTTGATTTTCATCTGCAGCACAAAACAGTAGGATATGCAATTTGAAAGTCTTTTATGATGCCCAGTTGATTCACAAAGTTTTGAAATATATTAAGATTTTTGTTAGACAATTGTAATTTTTTCCTGTGAATTAAATGTAGTTATGATTTTATCATTAATTTTGTATATTCACTTCTACAACAGATAAATCAAGATTATGTCCAAAAGATTCAAATAATGTACTTTAATGTTTTAATTATATCTTTATTGTTTTATAGAACTCCGCAGGAGCAACCTCTGAGCCTGCTACCGGATACATGCATGCATGCCTGTGAAAGCAGTACCGAGGCACAGTGTTTTCAGAACACTAATGATGAAGACAGCGATGGTTGGTTCAGCCTTGATTATATCTTTTTAAATTTATTATTTAAAATGACGTGCAGCACAGTTATTAATGAGAACCCGATTTCAGTACTCTTTAAGGTATCATTCTCAAGCTGAGTATGGAAGCCTTTATCCAAATCGAAATCATGTACATTGTCTTCCCATTCTCCAGTTTTACTTTCCCTTCATTCAAATAGTTCCTTTAAAAATTGAAATCTATAACTGTACATAAGATTCTAATGATATAATTGACCATGTGAAATAGGAAGAAAAGGGCTAAAGGTGCAGGGAAAGTGGGAGGGGTAGGGGAAAGGGAATAAGGGAAAAGAAAAAAATATGAGAAAATGAAAAAAATGGAAATGAAGAATTGGTAAAGGGGAGGGGAGGAGAGGTGAAGGGAGGGCAGGGACAAGGGGGAAAAATGAGAATCAAGACCTGTCAGGTAAAGGTACAAGATCCCAATGATGAACGTAATTGTGCTGTATACCTAAAATGTACCAATAAACTCAATAAAAGAAAAAAATTGAATGCCAAAAAATGAGAACAAGACCACCTGTCATGTAAAGAAAGGTACAAGATCCCAATAATGAATGTAACTGTACTGTATACCTAAAATGCACCAATAAACTCAATAAAAGAAAAAAATCGAATGCCAAGAAAACGTGCATTTAACTTGATCTGGGAAAATGGACAATATTTTCTTGGGTGGATAATACTGGTAATATTATTTCAAGAAAATAGGTAAGATGTAGCCTCTTCTGATACTATTTTTAAATCTTATTTCCTAGTTGAAGAGACCAAAATACAATATCCAACATTTTTTCTGCCAGTAGAAGAATTAAACATAGTAAGATCTGAACCCTCTATAAAGATAATAGAATTGGATGATGTAAGTAAATAATGACTATTCACATTCCTTAACTGAGAGAAAATATACAATACACAATTCCATATAAATGTTATTGTCAACAAGATTTCTTTCACACACAATGTTTAAAAAATGAATATAAACATGATAACAAAACAAAACAGAGTATACCTTTTTTTTCAGCTTTAATTGAGTTTATTGGTACATTTTAGGGATACAGTACAGTTACATTCATTGTTGGGATCTTGTACCTCTACATGACAAGTCTTGATTCTCATTTTTCCCTTACCCCTGCCCTCCCTTCACCCCCTCCTCCCCTCCCCATCTACAAACACTTTATTTTCATCTTTTCATTACCTCACGTTTTTTTCTTTTCCCTTATTACCCTTCCCCTACCCATCCCACCTTCCCTACACCTTTAGCTCCTTTCTTCCCATTTCTAAATGTCAGTAATCTTATTAGGATCTTCTGTATTATTGCACATTATTCACACCAGGGAAACTATTCAGTATTTATACATGTGTGACTTATTTATTTCACTTAGGAGTATTCCTTTTAATGTAAACAGTGAATTTGTGACCTAAATTTCTACTGTCCTGTTTTTGGAACCAGGCAGTATGGGGAAGTGAGAAAACATTTCACTATGTTAATTTACAGAATATGCTTTGGTGTTTGGTTAGTTTAATTCTTTATGTTATTGGGGACTTTTTGCCAAAGAAATGTCAGGATCTATTTAAATGTTTAAATTCTATAATGGTTTATTAAATGTCACTTAATAGCTTTTTTTTTTTTGGTACCGGGGATCGAACTCGGGTCCTTGCGCTTGTGAGGCAGGCCACCGAACCGCTGAGCTAAATCCCCGGCCCAATATCATTGTCTTTTTAAAGGAAGAAATTATATTTAAGAGTTAGGGAGTTATAAATTGAGCCAAAACCCCTAGAATACATCACCACAATTAGCTAAAGCCAGATGCAGTCAGAGATGTAACTGCAGGCTTAGTGATGGTGAACCTCTTAGAACTTTCAGTGATAGCAAACAGCCCACTGTGACACTGTTTCCCACCATTACCTAGGGTCTAGTAAAGTCACTATATTTGTGACCAGCATGTTGTTCTGCTTCTTTTTTTCTACTTGGGAACATTTTTATTTTTTCCCTGTATAATTTTGAGGAGTCAAACACACACACACACACACACACACACACACACACACACACACACACACGACCTAGTAATTCAATTGTTGATGCATAGCCATGCCAGTCAGAGAACTAAAAACCTCTTAGTCTAATCTACTTGAGAAATAGTAAAGCATCACTTGTGATTCTTGGTTCTTGGTGTGATAATTGTGATAAAAGCAGTGACACATCATTTTCCCTGAACGAGTCACAGCTGAGTTTGTTTAGTTCTCCTAAAGCTCATGTGTTAGGGGATATAACTACAGCTGCTCTGCCATTATTTGTAGAGATAAAGTACTGTAAATTCCACCTACTTTTACCTGTTTAATGCATGATAAAATTATTGAACATACTAATATTCTATAAAATAAATTTAATTAGACTAATGAAGAGGAATTTGAAGAACCTGGAAGCCTTGTGCCTTACAAAGTTGAATTAGCTAATGCAGACAGTCAACTAAGGTAAGATATTTCTCATTCACTTCAGATGCTTATTCAAACTTTTCAGATACACAAAAATTATCTGTCCGTTTAAATAGGAACTTCATGATTTCAAAAAATGTGGCTAATAATATTATTTGTGCCATATTTAAATTTTGGTAGATACTGCTAAGGGTTATCAATTATAAAATCTTATACAGTGTTGCTTGTAGTTTTGACTAATATATGTTATTATATTTTTCTTCTGAATTTAGAAACCCTTAATCAAATTGTTGACAATGTCTGATACATTTTTTATGAGCATCTTTTTCTTTAAAGATATTGTTTTTGAATTTGTCAGTTTCCTAAGGACCCTAAATAAATGGCTGTGTGAATGATTATGTAGACACTGAAAGAGCTCCTCTACTGATTACTTCCTACATAGAACTTAATATATGATAAATTGATGACATATGATAGTTCACTCTATAATTATTTTGTAGAAATTTCTTATTTCTAAAATAAGAGTATTATCTAATTCTGCCAATTTGTGATGTTAATTATCATAAGACACTTTTTCCTTTGACACGTTAGGATTTTCTGTGTTCTGCCTATAAGATATTAAACTTGAGGCTACAGTGGAATAAAGTTACTACTTAGTAGCTTCTGTACCCATGTTTGATCCAATCACCTTAGACCTCTTTTAGCATTTTACCATAGTTCTGGGCCTAAGTGATGCACTAGGGCCCTGAAAACTCTCCATGCTTGCACACATACACTCCGGTATGTAGAAGTAAACAAACTTTTGTGAAAGAGGTAAGAGGAAATACCTTTCTAGTCAGTAGATAAGACGTTTATATTTACTACTGTATATCTAAGTAAATGAAAGATATTTTTGCACTCTAATTTTTTAACGCATCTTATCACACATCTTTAGTTATGTTATCATACCACTATGTATGATGTTATGGAAGTCAGAGACAGTTACGTTGAACAATAATTTTACCACGTTGGTTTGAAAGTACCTATAGGAATCCCTTAATTTTGTCTTGCTGCAAGGGATCATGAGTGATAAAAGAGAACCTTTTGGTTAAGTATAATCTATGAATTTTATGATGGCATCATATATTGTTTGCATAAATATCAGGTACTATCAAATATATTATTTAATTTATAGTTCATTCATTATAGCTATGCTTATAGAATAGTATCTATTATTAATAATTGAAACTCAAATACCACATACTACTTTCTACACAATTCTATTTAGTTATGGTTAATATATAAATATAATGTTAAAACAAATATTAAACTCACAAAAGCAATCATGTATCTTTAAAGGTTTACTGTACTTGTTTTTAATAAATTGGGACTTTTAAATATCATTTGCTTCAACTCTACTTTTATGCTTGTTCCTAATAATGAAAGGCATACATTTCATGATTATCAGAAGAACAGTTTTCCATGTGAGAAGGACAGCTATCAATATCATATATTCAACAAAGTAAAAACAGACCTCTCAAAGCTTGGTCTGCCCCAGAACTCTACATATTATAAAGATAACGTAAAAGGTAACTTTTTCATATTGTTTAATATCATTAACAATGGGTATCCATAGTACATTAAAACCAATAGATTTTAGAGTTTATAAGTATTACTTATTATTTTCATTTTAAAACTAAAATTAAGTAGTTGGAAGAAAATTTATTGAAAATGTTTAATTTCCTATGTCTCTTTAGTCAATGGATAATGATGTTTCTATTCATTAGAAAAAGAAGCCAAAGATTGGGAATATAGCTTCAATGTAGGTCCTAGGTTAGGTCTTCCCAACTACTGAAAAAAATTTATTCTGAACTGAATTAGAATTTTAAAACTGCATGAAAAACTGTTTAATGTTAAAAGTCTGATTGGCACTTACTGTCCTCACTTGCATGAAATATTTCCCAATATTCATATTTGATGCAGCTTCATATGAGATATAACATAAACAAAACAAGCCATCTTGTTTATATTTCTGTATTGTTACTACTAGCGGTTCCCTTGGATGCTGTAGATTAGAATGCTGTGTGCAAATGTCTATTTTCACATTCCAGATGGGGAGATCATCATGTGGAATCACAGGAAAATATACTGGTCTAGGAGTCAAATTGTATTTTCATGGCTTAAATTATCATGTCACTTTCAACACATTCATTGTTTGTTTCCTTAGACTTCATTTTATTAAGCTACAATATAAAAATTAGTTAATGCCCTAACTTCCTTTAAAATATTATATTTGATCTCACTAAGATCTTAATAAAAGGCAATAAATATACCTTATGTGAAGAATGTGAGAGATACCTAAGGACATTATTTAAAATAGTTTTAACAATGATGATTACCTTCATATTCAGGAGCAATATAGAAAAGCGATGTAGATTTATGTCAGTCCTGCTGTTTTTGCCATTTTTGAACTACTTAGCCTCTGAAACATTATGGCCAAGTAGGAACTATACCAGCATTTGAACTTAGAACAGTACAGGGTTTCCAATCAGGTCTGGAAGTAAATATCGTTTGATCAAAGTGGAGCATGGTGTTTCAGTTGCCTTTGGGAAATTATGAATATAAATGCTCATAAGAATGTTACTTTAAAGACATTTTAAAAAATATTCTTTAGAGCCATTTTTTTGTTTATGGCAAAATTGAGCAGAAACTACAGAATCCTTATATGTTCTTTGTCCCCACACATGCACAATTTCCTATATTGTCAACAATGCACACCAAAATACTCATTTCCTTTGAGTGCTGAAGAGTACTTAATTGTCTGAATATAACGCAGTTTGTTTAATCACTTACTTACTGGAGGACAACTCAGTTTCTTCCAAGCCTTGGTAATTACTAACAGTAACGTGTATATGAAAAATTGTTGGATGTAAGTTTCAGCTCGTTTGGGAGAATACTACAGAGAACAGTTACTGAATCCTATGAAAGAGTATGTTTAATTTTGTATGAAATTGCCAGTGTTTCTCTCAGGCTTGCTATACCATTTTATCTTCCCACCAGCAGTGAGTGAGTTTCTATTTCAATGCACCCTCCCTGAATGTTTTTTTTGGTGTTTTTTATCTTTGCCATTTTATTTACTCTGCAGTAAAGTCTCATTGTGTTAGTTTACTATTCCTTAATTACATATGATGTTGAACATTTTAACATATTTTCAATGAGATATGTTTTCATGTTTTCTGTATATTTTTACATTGGATTGCTTGTTTTGTTATTGATGGATATTAATAATTCTTTGTATATTTAGATATCTTTTATCATATTCTTTTTCAGTTATTATATGTCAGCCTATAGATTGTTTTTTCATTCTCTTAAATATATTTTTCATAGAGTCAAACTTTTTAATTTAAATGAAACTCATTTTATTTGCTATTTGACTATCTCAAAGATTTATACCATACCTAAGATAGTCTAGGTCTTTTTCCTATATTTTGCATTTTTTCATGTAGCTTCTTCATGAGGTATTTTTGGGTTAATTTTGTTGAAGATATAAAGTCTGTGTCTAGATTCAGTATTTTGTCATGTGACTAAGCAATTCTTTTATTACTCTTTGTTGAAAAGACTCCTCTGTGCATTGCCTTTGCTTCTTTGACAAAGATCATTTGACTATATCTAGTATATGGATATATTCTGGCTCCTCTATTTAGCTTCACTGAATCACCTACTTTTTACCAATACTACATTGTCTGATTTTTTTTTAGGCATATAGTATTAAGTAGGATGTTGTCAACTCTCTGTCTTAATTCTTCAATTTATGTTGGCTACTCTGTGTTGTTTGATTCACCATCTAAATTTTAGGATCAATTTGTTAGTAGTCACAAAAGAAGCAAGAATTTTGATTGACATTGCATTGAATCTTTAAATCAAATGGGAAGAATTGATATCTTGATAACTTTGAATATTTCTATTCACAAACATACAGTTTTTCTCCATTTATTCAGTTATTTGATATCTTTAACCAGAAGTTTATAGTTTTCTTCCTCTAGATTTTATACAGATTTTGTTAGATTTATTCTTTCATATTTCTGTTGAGGGGGATAATAAAACCAGCTTTGAGTTTTACATTTTAAACCTTCCTATTCCTTATTAGTTTAAAGGACAGTGAATTACTTTGGAATATTATCCTTACATTCTGTAACCTTGCTTTAATTGCTTGTTAGTTCCAGAAGGATATCTGGTGAGGTTTTCAGAATTTTCTTCATAGATAATGATATCATCTGGAAACAAAGACAGACATATTTTATCCCTGTCATTATGCCTACCTTTTAAAAAAATTATCTTATTGTAATGGCTTAGACCTCCACTACATTGTTGAAAAGGAGGGAAGGAGGGGACAGTTTTGCCTTATTTCTGTACTTAGTATGAAAGATCTAGTTTCTCACTATTAAGTTTGCTGTTAATGTGAATTGGAGTCATTCTTTCTCAAATTAAGAAAGTTTCATTCTCTTACTAAATTATTGAGAGTACTTTTTATCATGAATACATTTTGAATTTTTACATAAAGCTTTTTTTGCATCTCTGGATATGGTCACATGAATTTTTTTAGCCTTTGTGATGGATTTGAATAATTGATTATCGGATATTGAAACAAGACACACAATTATTAATAACTAAACAAAGCCGGTCTTACAATGACTAGAGTAAATTAAATATACCTACATTGTATTTCACTTTTAACATTATTCAAAGACTATTTCAATGATAATGAACATAAGTAGTAAAAATTTTACAAATTTGCAAAAATATTGTTGTAGGTAGTTGTAGATACTTCAACATAGAAATAACATCTCTTTGTTGTAAAAATTCAGATAATTTCTATATTCAGAAAATTTCTATTAGGGAAAGTCTAGCATTATTGAAGAAATTTCATTGTTTTTAGTTCCCTTCATGAAGTCTTTCTTATGAAATCATTTGTCTGACTTCTAAGTTATTTCTTTTTACAATATTTGTAATATTTTAAACCTGCCACAGTTGAAGTGAAAGTGTAATAGCCAAGTTAAATAAACATTTCATCACAACAACTAAGTCCTTTGGGGTATAAAGCAGAATTTGCTTTAGTGGAGACTAGGTTTAAGTCTCTGCTATTTTATGTAGTTTGTTTATAGAGATATTTGTTTTGAAAAGAGAATAGGGATGATCAGATGATGCTATATTCAATTCAAATTATATGTAATATAGTTTAAATATGTCATATAGTTATAATATTAATATATTATCTACTTTCAAAATGACATACTATTCCTAAAGAATTTTTATTCATGAGAAAATCTGGAGCAGTGTTTCACTCCCATGGCTGCACATTATAATACCTTGCTGAAATTGTTTGGGGAAACTAAAAAATGACTAGGGCCTGAGTTTCATTCCCAGTGTCTGATTTAATTGCTTAGGGGTCAGATCCATACACTGACACCTTTAGAGAGTATGTTCAAATGATTCCATTGTGTATTAGTCTGAAGTCCCATGATCTAGATTAAGTGATTTACTTAAGCAGACCTAAAGAGGCAGGTGACTAATATAATCTTGCTCACTCTGTAGTTTTCTGTAGGCGAGTGTCCCAGTTACATGTTTTGTGCTGCTCTTCAGTTATTTGGGACATTTCCCTTTGCCCCCTCTTTAGCCTAGGCTTTTTACATCACAGAAGTAAAATGTGGGAAAAGGTTTTCTCTTAATTACTCCTCCCGAATTCCAGTTGTGATATTTGAGTGAGAGAAGAGGTGGGGAAGGGAGAATTGAACCATAGGCTGAAATAAAAATCTGCATCAATTTCAAGAGTTCATTGTGAAATAACATTTTTCTTTCTTTCATTAGTCTGCCTAATTAACATTTGGTTGTATAAAAATATTATGATTGCCATTTATGAATGCAGCATATTAAAAATTTTAAAATTTAAAATCTTCCATTACATTTTTATAAGCTGGGTTTGGTAGCACATACCTGTAATTGCAGCACTCCTGAGACAGAGTGAGTCTAAGGCCAGCCTGAACTACACAGTGAGACGCTGTCTCAAATAGTAATCATTGTAATAATAATAACAATAATAAACTGAAAAGAAAAGAAATTTTTAAAAAGTTCACTGATAAAAATTTCCCCCACAACTTTTACTTCACTATGATTTTATTCTATTTTAATCTGTTTTTATTTTTAAAATATGTGTTTTTAGCAGAAGGAGCTTCAAATGCAGATTTTGAAAACATTGTGGATCCCGATTCATACTCTCCTGACATGGACAAAATAGGGGAAAGCGGCACTTTTGAAAGAAAATTGAGAGAGAAAAGTATAAATATAGGAAGTAACCAAAAGTTTGATGATTCCAACATATTACCTGGGAGCAATGATTTCTTGTCAACTATAGATAAGTCTTTCTTTGAGGAGAAATTATCTCAAGAAAACAAAGAATCTTTGGAATTTAGCAATGTGTATGAGAAGCCAGATTTTGAAGATTCTACAGCTAGAGAGTCACGACTGGTAGATTTTATTGTGTCGATTATCATTTTGTAGTGAGTATCATAAGAAAATGTCATTTGACACAGTGCTCATAAATATTACGTTTTATTTTTGCTGAAATGTACTACGTATTGCATTGCGTTGCAGCTGAAGAGTGACTCCTATGTGGTAAAGTAAAAGGCACTTTCTAATATGGTGGATGTCACTTTAAGGAAGGGTCTTCTCTGACAAATAAAACTTTGTGGACTTAATACACCATAGTAAAAGCGCTGTTACTTTTCAAATGAAATTCATTTTTATGCATATTATACTGTAGTAACTCCACTAGCTTTTCACTGTGATATAGATACTAATGGGTCATAATGAAAACAGTACAGATATGTAGAAAGAAATGGTTTTGTGGTATAATATTAAGGTACAAAAATAAATAATTTTAGGAAAATAACTGAAATAGCAGTGCATGTTCTTATTTCTTCTCAGAAGAAATATAGGTATGTAGGTAATTATTACATTGTTGTCAAATTTTGAAAATACATTTTAATCTCCATTTTATGTACTAGAAATCTTCAGTGATTATGGTTACTAAAAATAAAGTTTTTGCAAATGGGTCAAGCCGAATATTTTAATAATTCTTTAAAAGTTATTTTGAACTAATTTTCAGGAACCTAAACTGAAAAGCAAACAAACAAACAAAAACCAGAATGAATACTTGAGGTTCTTTTCATCTTGTTTGAGGATTGGCTTCCTGTGCCCATTTTGTGACAGGTGTTGTGCCTTTGGGAGGTGAGAAATGAAATGGAGAATTCTGCCAAATACCAGATGCCTAAAAGTGTGCTGTTACTGAACAAATGCACTCGGAGACTAGCTACAGGTGTAACAAGATGAAAGGAGACTGAGATTTATGCGGAGATTTATTGTCAGGTCAATAAAAACTCTGACATGAAAAATGAAAATCTTGTACTTTCAGTTAGGGTATGTGTATAAATCAGTATCCAAAATTCCACTTGAATATATATTTACTTCTTGAACTCTCCAAGCCAAGCGGTTATCATTATCTTTATTGTATCTGGTAGAAGTAAATCTTAATCCCAGCTAGAAGGACTTCCTCATAATTTACCCAATGATGGTTTTGGCAAATAAAACCCACTTCAGATGAGCTGATATTCCCTCTGTCCCAGTGGAGAAAATAGTTAATCACAGCACGAATTTCCACAAACAAAACAAATAAGAACTCCGGTTTCCTAACTTTCACAGGGCATCACAAAGACAGCTTGATGGCATCTGCTCAGGTAGTGGGCTGTGTTATAGCAGAATCCTGAGGAGCTTAAACTCTCTTTGGACTGGGCAGTAATTCTACTTGACCTCACCTAGACCTCATCATGATTCTCTGTAGAAACTGGGCCCTGGGTTTTGTTGCAAATGGTGAGACTCATAATCACTATAGCTGAGAGCAGTAAAATCCTGGCAAGGAGTTCTGTGTCTTTTGTTAACAGTCATGAAACTACATATAACAGACTTGGAAAAAAGGACAAATCTTGGACCCTTCACAATTCTTGATGGCAAGTAGAAAGAGTAAGCTGACAAGTAAATCCGAGCATGTAATAATTAGAATGAGTGAGCAGATTAAATTATATTATTTGTAGTTAAAAGCAGATTGCAAATTTGGACATAAAATCTATCTAGGTGATTTTCATCAGGAATTCATGTAAACATGGGGGAAAGGTCTGAGAGTAAAGGCAAGCATTGATTATTAAAAAAAACTTTCAGATAATAAAACATCACCATGACAAAGGGAATCACTATATATATATATGATTAAAATGAATTATTAGGAAGAGTAAATAAAATTTCAGTTCACATGTAACTATAAATATAGCATCAGAAATGTTGTAGCAAAACTGAGGAAAACTACATATTACTTACAGATCCATCAACCCAATGGGAGTTTTATAAGGGAAATGAGAGATTTAAACAACACATAAACTGGGAGGGCTTCTTTTGAATAATGTGTTCAATAACTAGATGATGTGTGTTCTTTGCAAGAATACACAAGACATTTACAAAATACACTTTGACAGTGTAAATAAAATTACAGAGGACATTTCAACAAATCTTAAAGAAATGATGTCACTGTGACACAGTGTAATAACACAAATTGATAGCAAAATGAAATAAAAATAAAAGAACTCAATTTTAGCATGTTATAAAATAATTTATAAATATCTTTAACTGAACATTAACAAAAGGACTATTAGTAAAAATATGTATTATTTTCAAATACTACTTACTAGGAAATTTATGCAAATGACCCCTTACTCTCAGGGTTTAATTTATGAATATTTTGCCTAATGGATGTGCAAAAGTAACACGCATTTAGTAGAAAGCATACTTAAAATTTTGAATTTTGATCTTTTCCTCATCTAGGAGTACTTGTTATACCTTTTCATAATACTGTGAAATGGCACTGAGTTATAATTCCTAGTTAGCCAATGATATTCTATAGTGTGCTATATTGCTAACCCATGATATTTTGTATATTAGGTGTCTCTTTTTAGATTACAACACTTTTAATTGAAAACAAATTTATTGCGATGTAACCACATTGTAAGTCAGAGAGCATAATTACAAATGCAATAAAACAGGAGTGAAAATTAATGAGTTGTGAACCTGATCCAGAAGAAATTAAATAATAATAATAATAATAATAATAATAATAATAAAACTCCTAGCATACAGAGGTAAACATTATAAAGGAGAACAGAAATTAGACAGGAAAAGTAATAGCATCAACAAAATTCTTATTTTTTAAAAGTCTAAAAATTTAAGGCACAGTTGTGGACATCTTGACCAGGAAATTAAAGAAAGAAAATAAAATAAATGATATAAATTAAATTTAAAGGGAGATGTCATATAATTTTTAATTGTTAGTAAACTTGTTATGAGAAATACATAGTAATTCATTCAAGAGACATGAAAATATATATATTTCTATGAAAATGACTTATGAAAACCGACTGTGGTTGGATTAGAAAATTTGAAAGAAACTATAATTATGTGCTACAATTTGAATGTGTGCTCTAAGCATCACGTGTCAGAAACCTAATCCCCAGTGTGACAGTGTTGAACATGGAGACTTGTAAGGAGTGCTGTGATCCTGAGGGCTTGATCTTCTGGTGGGTGAATGCTGTTCCTGTGGCAGTGGATTCATCAGCCCAGGAGTAGGCTTATTAAAACAGTGAGTTTAGCCCTCTGTCTTTGCTTTCTTGCCTTTAACCTTCCTTCATAGGGTAATGTAGCCAGAAGATCCTCACCATATGGTAGATCCTTGATTTCACACAACTCAGACTCCGGGACTGTAGAATACTAGCTGAACATCTGTCTTCTTCCAAATTCCTTTCCCTTCATTAAAAAAAAAAAAAATAAAGACACACTAAAAATAGGTATGCAAGTCTAATACACCATAAAGAACCAGTAGTTAATTATTCTACTCTGGGAGTGGGCAAACCACATCCACGAATGTATGTACCAAAAATAACTTAACTGGCTTTATTTCAAGAATCCATCAGTTTGTTAGATGTGCTGAAGCACCTGATAAATGAAAAACTTTCATTAAAACTACCTTTCCCACTCTAATAAGAGGTATTTGCACAATCTCCAGGATATTCGTAACTTGTGGTTATTAGTATTAGTCTCTCCCATCCTTTATTCCATCGTCTCCATGGGAAAAGGAGTGACTTAATTGGTGAGGAATGTTGGTGTTTGATATCTTGATCAGGCCATATGTGCCAGGGTGGAGAAACTGCCTTGAAATATATTTTGCCTATTATCCTCCTTAAGGTGCTTTGCTACTTCTGTTTCTCCCTGTGCGTGTGGTCCGTGTCTGTGTCTGAGCCTCTGCCCATCTCTCCCTCTGTCTGGTTTTCTCTGTCTCTGTCTCTATCTCTGTCTCTGTGTCTCTTACTACTCTCCTTCTGCGTCCTTCTGTGTATGTGTCTGTTTCTGATCGCTCTTTACCAAAAAGTTCTCAACGGAGTATTATCTGCTTCTCTCCTCCAAGTCTTCCTGTGATAAAGTCCACGGGAAAAGTCTTCCCTGTCATTCTCTTTTATTCTTTAAGAAGGAAGAAAGGAATCTTCCATGGCCCTCAGGCTCTCCCGATTTCCAAACCATTTCTGAGGGAATTAGGATAATTGAGACAATTAATCTAGTAACTTGTGTTCCATCTTGATTTCCTGGTTCTACTCAAAATTGATCAGAGCCTGTCAAACATGGATGTCACGTAAGTAGCACCCTTTAGTTCCCTCGGTTTCCCTTGCTTCTTTTGTAGGATGCTATTCTATCCAATTAATGTAAAATATTTTTATCACTTAGTTCAGATGTTTATTACAGGCAAGGTGTGTGTGTGTGTGTGTGTGTGTGTGTGTGTGTGTCTGTGTGTGTGTATCTGGTTTTATTGCATTTGACACAATAAATTGTTCATAATACATTCTGGCAGAGCTCGTTCTGTTAACAATCTAAAAGAGAATTTACACACCTGGGGCACATAAAGTCCTCGCCAGCTTAAACCTATTGAAATAATCGAGTGAAGCGACTGCTGTAAAATGGCTTACATGGTTACTGTATTTTCAATTAGATGGGACAAAGCGTAGCTCAGAATAGTAGTAAATAAACAAACTTGTAATGTGCTGTAACATAATTTTAACTGAGGAATGAAGAAAGTGTTAACAGTTTCACATGAACTGTCCGCCCCTTATAATAAGATTCATATTGAGTGGCCGGGGTTCTCCTTTGGCAACTTCCTCCAGGAGACTGCTCATCTCTAGGAGGACTGCAGTGAGGTCACAGCCAGAGAGGAGGTGAGAAGCTGCTGAACAATGCAGCTGAAACGGGGCTGCGAAGAAAGGAGAACTCTCTGAAGTGGCTCCCAAAGGGACTGGTACTGCACAGTTTAGTGACTGGATTTTTGCTTTTGAATAGTTAAATGATAGAATTTGTTTTTATTCCTTCCTTACCAACCAGACTTGAACTATTTTTATTCTCCTTTGCCCTACTAGAAGTCATTCCATGAAGAGAAATTATTTGGAAATCTATTTTGTTCCAGAAGAAAATTTGTGTCCCTAAAGAAGCAGGGTCATTTTTTAGCCATGGAATTTCCTGAATTTCCTTTTCATTTTGCACTTCAGATTTCATAAAGTGGAGCTACTTAAGGAATTAACTGTTAAGTTGTAGGCAGTAATTGAAAGAAACAAAAACTTGGCAGTGGTCCTTGATTCTGGTTCTGTGACAATCAATGGTTAACTTTGTAAAAGAAGCGAAAGAACTTATTTATTTCACTTAGGAGTATATCCTCAATATGTATCCATTTTCCTACAAATGAATCTAATTTCTCATTCTTTATGGCTGAGTAGTATTCCATTTTATAGAAAAACCACATCTTCTTTATCCAATTTCCAACTGATGGGCAATTGGGCTGTTTCCAAATTTACCTATTACAAACTGTGAAGCTATAAACATGGGTGGTGCATATATCAGTGTGATATGATTCCTTTAATTCTTTTGGAAAGATACCCAGCAGAAGGATGGCTGGGTCAGATGGAACCTCCAGTCCCAGCTCTTTGAGGTATCTCCATATTGATTTCCATAGTGATTGCACCAGTCTGCACTCCCACCAACAATGGAGAGGGGTTCCTTTCTCCCCACAACCCTGCCAATATTTGTTATTGGTTGATTTCTTGATAGCGGCCATTCTTTGTGGGGTGAGGTGGAATCTCAGTGTTGTTTTCATCTGCATCTCTCGAATGACCAGTGATGTGGAACATTTTTTCATATATTTACTTGCTGCTTTTACTTCTTTGTCTGAGAAATGTCTGTTCATTTCGGATGCCCATTTTTGAATCAGGTCTTTATATTTGGGATGGCTGATTGTTTTGAGTTCTTTATATATTCTAGATAATAGTCCTTTGTCTGAGGAGCAGATGGTAAAATTTTTTTCCCACATTGTACATTGTCTCTTAGTTCTGCTGATGGTTTCTTTTGCAGTGCAGAAGCTTTTTAATAAGATGAGATCCCAGTTCTTGATTCTATCTGTTAGTTCTTGTGCTCCTTGTTCATAAAGTCTTTTCCTATGCCAATGTCTTCCAGAGTTCTGCCTAACTTACTTTCCAGCAAGTTTAATGTTTCTCTTTTAATATTTAGATCTTTAATCCACTTGGATTTTAATTTAGTGCATGGTGAAAGATAAGGGTCTAGTTTTAATCTTTGGCAGGTTGAGATCCAGTTTTTCCAACACCATTTATAAAAGAGGCCATCCTTCCTCCAGTGTGGATGGTCAGCTCCTTTGTCAAAGATGGGGTAGCTGAGAACATCTGGAGTCACACATGTGTAAATACCAAGTAGTTTCTCTGGTGTGAAAAGCTATAATAGTACATAAGATCCTAATGAGATACTTGACAATGTAAAATAGGAAGAAAAGGGCTAAAGGTGTAGGGAAAGGGAAGGGTAGTTGGAAATAAAGTGTTTGTAAATGGGGAGGGAGGAGGGGGTGAAGGGAGGGCCGGGACAAGGGGGAAAAAATGAGAAACAAGACCTGTCATGTAAAGGTACAAGATCCCAATAATGAATGCAATTGTACTGTATACCTAAAATGTACCAATAAACTCAATAAAAGAAAAAAAAGAACGGAAAGGAAAAAATGTTAGATAAGAAAGAAATGGAAACAAAGCCTTTGCAAATAGGGAGGGGTGGAGGGGTTGAAGGGAGGGCAGGGGAATGGGAAAAAATAAGAACCAAGATACATCATGTAGAGGTACAAGATCCCAATGATGAATGTAAATGCATTGTATACCTAAAATATACCAATAAAAGAATCAAGAGGAGAAAAATAGTCAACTTTGTGAGTTTTCTAAAAAAAAAAAAAAAAACCAAAATATACCCACTATCGGTTTTTTTATTTGTGCACCAAGACTTGTTAAAGCACTTTTAGATTTGCAATTGCATAATCCAAACACGAGCTTCAGTAAAGCTGAAGGAATTCTATTTTTGTCAAGCAAGTATCTGGGAAAGCTAAGAAAAAGGTATCCTAAGAAAAGTGGACATGGGGTTGGCTTTGAATGAAGTGCTTTGTGGTCCCTAGCTTTCACTTACAATATTTCTCATTTATATGATTTATAAACATCTATAGAGTTTTGTTTTGTGTTGTTTAATCTTGTGGAGGGACTATATATTTTGGGCATGAATTATATACATTAGTAAATGGTTAAACACTTTTAGCTACTCTGCTTATATTTCAAGCCCATCCATAGCTCTTACTTCTGAATAACTAATGTATATTGAAAGGTTGATATGATTTTTTAAATATAACTGTATTTTTATCCCAGAATAAATGCATATAGAAAAATTAATAGGGTTGCAAAATAAGACTGGGATTTAAATCAGAAAGGCCAATTAAGTTTCCAATTATGTAAACTTCACAAATAACTTCTTTTCTTCTTGCTTCAGTTTTTTTTTTTCATATTTGCCTCATGATGAGTTTTTTGTTAACTTGGATTTTGTCTATGACCATTATATGATCAAATTGATTCCCACTGGTTTTTACTTTCATCTTTGAAATTATTTTATGTGTAGATAAAGACACAAGTTCAAAAGCACTGCATATGAAAGAGACTGTATTCCAGGGTAATTTATGTGCAAAGATACTGAGGGAAGAAAATAAAAGAAAGAAGGCAGAAAGGGAAATTTTATTTCATGAACTTCTCTCCTCCTTAGGTTGATGGCAACTTTCAGATAATTACTATAATTGTGTTTCATACGTTTTCAGAACTTATTATATATAAATGTTGTATTATTATTTATATCTCCACTTTTAGAGACTAAACTTCATGACAATATCATTTGTGCCAAGTACATAATAGTGTTTAATGAATGCTTTGAAGAGGTGAGAAAATAAACTTGGTTTTGTTGAATATTTTGTTTCCTAGTTGTTACAGGTAATAGCCATCAGAAACAAACATATAAGTCAACAATATCAAGGACTTGAAAGACTCTTTACTTTTGATACAAATGAAAGACACAATTTTCTGCCTTCTCATAGCTTACAGTACAGTTATTCCTCTACTAGGATTGCACTTTCAGGTAAATTCAGACATCAAATCTGCTGACCTATGAACCAACTTGACAATCTTACACTTTTTTAAATAAATGGTCTACCATTGTCATAATGATAAAATTATTTTCTTCTTTCCTAGCTAAAATCATTCATCCTGTGTGAATTGCTGTATTTTTACATTTGAAGCTGCTTTCAGAATGTGAAAAAATTATAATGAAATTAGGGAAAGAATTTAGAATTTAGAGGTATAGCTATTATCATATTATAAAAGTAATGATTCTGAATCAGTTAGCCTTTATAGGATAATCTTTAAATTTCCTCTTTCAAAAAATAAATTCTTAGCATCTGTGAAATTCATGAGATATGATTATAATTTCCTTTTCTCTCAAATGTTACTTATTGTGGTACAATTCACATAATCTAACATTCATCAGCTTAATAATTTACATCTATACAGTTCTGAGGAAGTAAATATGTTCATAATCCTGTGCAACCAACATCACCATTCATCTTCAGCACTCTCGTGATCTTTAGACTTTAACTGTATTCTCATTAAATAATAACGTCCTTTTCTCCTTCCCCAGTCCCTATCGAGCACCATGCTGCTTTCTGGTTTTGTTACTTTGAAAATTATAAGTAATAAGTGGAATCATACGTATTTATTGTTTCATGACTGGTTGATTTCCGTCAGCATTGTTTTTCAGTAGTTTCATTCATGTTATAACATGCACGAGAATTTTCTTTCTTCTTTGAAACAAAATACATAAATATTGAGGATAGAATGTTGAAACTCTGTTGTCCAGCTCCTCCTTTATGCATCTATACAACCATCTTTAAGACTCCATGGAATATAATTTTAAAGTCACTATTAAAGGAGAAAGATGTTTCAAAAATTAAAAAAAAAAATTCCTTAAAAAGCAGGACAATGTTCAATTTTACAGTCACCACATTTTGCTTATTCATTAGTCCTTCACTGAAAACTTGGGCTACTTCCATATTTCAGTTATTGTGAATAATGCTGTTGCTGTTATGAACATGAGTTTAAAATGTTTTTTCTTTAATACCCTGCTGTTAATTCTTTTGAGCTCATATCCAGAAAGAGAACAGTTGGGTCATTTAGCAATTTGATTTTTAATTTTTTAACAACTTCCATCCTGTCCCCCAAAATCATTATAACATTTTACAGTCCGACTAGTAGTGCACATGAGTTCTTTCCAGTTGCTCTACATCCTTGGCAACATTTGTTATTTTCTGTTTTCCTTCTCTGAGTGGTATATTGTTGGCATATAGATTTGTTTTTCTTTAATGGTTAGTGATGTTGAGCATCTTTGAATTGCTTATTAGCAATATGTATATATTCTTTGGAATTATGTCTGTTCTAGGCTTTGGCTCATATTAGTGAGTTGTTGTTCTTGAGATTTATTGTATGCTGGATAGTAATCCCTTATATATGATCTAAAATATTTTTCTTTCATTCTGTGAATTGCCTTTTAGGTGTAATGCTAGCATTATTTGATGGGAAATTAGTTTTTGACCTCTCATACAGTTTAATTTTTCTGTTTTCTATTTTGCTTCCTCTGCCTTTTAAAAAAATATGTGAAGCTATTTCTAAATCCACCGTTCTAAACTATTTGCCCTAAATTTTATTCTAAAAGTTTTATAGCTTTTGGGTCTTACATTACATGGATCAATTTTTTAGTTAAGTTTTATACATAGTATTAGATGAAGTTTCACATTCATTAATTTTCTTATAGATATATCAAGTTTTCTAGCATGATTTATTGAAAAGACTGCCCTTTATCCTTTGCATAATCTGGTACTCTTGTCAAAAATAATTTGAGAAGATTTTAAATATTCTTATAAACACACACATAAAAGTTGGTGAAGTAAAACATATGTTAGCTTGCTTTAGTCGTTCTACAATATATAAAGATTTAAACTGTCACGTTATTCATAAATATATTCAATTTTCTACCTAAACAAAAACAAAAATTTTTATCACGTGAGTGTAGGCTTACTGCTGGGATATGTGTTCTCTTCCATTAGCCAGTTCTGTACTCTTTTGATGACTGTTTCTGTGTAGTTAAGTTTTAAGTTCAGGAGGTGTATTACCCTTCAAATATGCTTTATTTTTTTCAAGTTTATTGTGATTCTTCAGGGTGACTTACGATTTCATATTAGGATGGCTTTTTCTAATTCTTCAAAAAATACCATGGGCTCTTAATAGTGATTGCATTGAATTTGCAAATTGTTTTGGGCCCTGTTTGCATCCGAACACTAAAATCTTACAATCCATGACCGTAAGGTATATTTCTATTCATTTATGTCTTTTAAAATTTTTTTTCAATAATGTTTTCTATGTTTAATTTTTTATATCTTTTGTATCCTTGGTTAATTCTTAATTATGTTGCTCAGTTTGCTGTAATATAAATGGAATTGTTTCCTTAATTTACATTTTGGAACATTCATTTCTAGTATAAAAAATACAGCTGATTTTTGCCTAGTGACTTTCTATCCTGCTATTTTGCTGTGTTAATTTATTAGTTCTATTTTTAATGGAATTTTGGGGGATTTCCTTATATTAAACTATATCATCTTCAAAGAGATGATTTATGTGTTCTTTTTGGATTTGGCTTACTTTTTTCCTTTTCCTTGTTTAAATTTTTTTGGCTAGAACCTTTAGTACTATTTTCAGTAGAAGTGGTAAAAGTAAGCATCTCTCCTTGCTCCAGGAAAATTTTCAGTCATTTACCATTGAGTCTACTTGTTGTGGCATTTCATATGTGACTTTTATGTTGTACAGGTGGTTTTCCTCTATACCACATTGTAGGGAATTTTGTATTGAATTTTGTCAGATGCTTTTTCTGCATCACTTGAGATTTTCATATTTTTCCTTTTATTCAATTCCTATGTTATATTGCACTGATGGAATCTTGTAGGGTAACTCATCCCTACATTCCAGGAGTAAATCCTACTTGGTCAGGATGTAATTATTACAAGATATTGCTGATTTTGTTCTTTAGCATTTTGTTGAGGAGTTCTTCACTCATTTTATAAAATATTCCTCTATAGTTTTTTGTGATGAAGTTTGTTTGGCTTTGATATCATGGTAACATTGGCATCATAGAATGAATTACAAAGTGTACTTCAAATAAAAAAAAATTGAGAAGAATTTGCTTTAGTTAGTACTTTAAATGACAGAGCTCAACAGTGAAGCTGTTAGGTCAAGGATTTTTAATTGTTGAGAGATTTATCATTTTTTCATCAAAATAGAAATTCAATGTTTTTTATTGAGTAGCCATGAGGTTGTATATTTTATATCTCACTGTTATACGCATTACTTAGTTCAGCTGAGTATTGTTCAGTGAGGTAATAAATATAATAAACCAACATCATGGATTTGCCTCATTTTATACTTCATATGGTTTTATCTTTTTCCACTGCAGGAGACAGAGAATGGATCCCAGATAGTAGCCTGAGTGCACATGCTGCTGACACGGCTGCCCTGCAGCCTCTACAGAGGGCCCAGCATACATCACCACGTGCAGAGCAGCAGAAAGGTGAGGTGGGCTATGGGGGAACAGTGACATATTGCTGCTTCACTAGTTTTACAAGTTTGTTTTCAGACGCTAGTTTATTTATTAGACACCTGAATGTTAGCTTATTTTAACTAAATGTTTCTGATTTTTTTTCTGCATCCAAAAAGCCAAAATGCCACTATATTTACTTATTGTTCCACTCAAAAACATGAATTATAGTTGTATTTAATTTTATAATGATGTGTTAAGGTACAATATTCTTAAAACTTAGTTTGGGATATGCTGTGTTGTGAGCAGACCTCATAGAATGCACACTCCATTTCATTACCTACTCCAGAAGTTATGTATTTATATCAGATTGCATATTCTTTCACTTGATTCATATTACTATTGGGTGTAGCCATATATAAAACGAATAGCTGGGATTAAACTGTTACTTGAAAAAGTGATGAGGTAGCTCACTTCTAAACTTAATGCCATATGTGGTAACCGTAGGATTTTAATTTCAGTTCATTAACTCCACTCTACAGCCAAAGTAATTGAACAGTTTTCTCTAAGATAACTTTATAGGGATGTTGAATAACAACTGTAATATTTTTCTATTGTGTATATCACTAGTATTATTAAGTCAGTACTCATTCCTTTCTACCTGCTTTAGTACATTTGTTTTCTGTTGCATTTTGTATATAACGTTGCATTACATAGCTTAATTAAGGCAAGCCAGCATACATGTTGAGTCTGTTAGCTTTGTGCTAGGCCCTGGTAAGAAAGGATGAGGAAATTTAATTCCCTGGGGACTCAATCTAGTAGGAATACTTGAAAAAAGTGGGTTATTTACCTTGGTTTATAGCCTCTCTTCAAGCCAGTAATTCAATTACACATGATTTGTTCCTGTACATATATAAGATTTATATATCTCTTTTTCCCTAAACATCATGATTAAATTTCCTTGGCTAGCTGAGATCCTTTCTATTTGCACTTATGTTGAGAATCTGTCAAATATAAAGTTTTTCACCAGAAAACCACCCATTTATGATAAATGTTTTTTAGCTCTATAATTAGATGTCTATTCTTACATAAAATTCTACAGCAGCTTCAGAAATTCTGGTTGCTTATTTTGGAGGCAGTCAGAAAGAACTGTTGAATATTGTTGAAAATAAATTCATGCTATTTGAAATTTGTTACTGAGACAAATCTTTATAAATAAGTAGCCAATTGCTTTAAGTATCATTTTGGACAGATAAATCAAACACAGTAATTACTATGAAGAACATTTGTTGGAGTACTTGCTTTAGGCCAGGCACTGCCTGACATTAATGATACAAAGTACGGCCAAAGACTTCTGTGCAGAGATTCTCAAACATCATTGTGAGCATAATCATCTGTGAAGCTTGTTATAATGCAGATTTCTGTATTAAACTAATATAGGCTTGGATAAGGCCTGAAAATTTGCATTTTTCAACAATTCTCTGTAACGTGATATAGACAATTGATATTCATGTTTTGAGAAATTACTATATGGATAGGCAAATACATAAAGTATACCATATATATTATGATAAGCTTTGTAAAGTGGAGCATAAATAATATACTTTTGGAAATTGATAAGTAATTTAATGATGGTATATCATAGGCATAATATAACAGATACACATGCAGCGTTTTAGGAAAAGAAATGATAAAATAATGACTTAGCCCTTGAAAAGTGTAGATATGCAAGATGTTAGAGACTAATGTGATATTTCAGTTGAGTCTTTAAAAAGTAATAGTAGACATCAGTTAGGGGAGTTGGGAAATAGCTTCCTGGACCGAGGTAGTGGCCTGAAATAAAGCAAAGTGTTCCTAACTATGGTACAAATTATAGAAATCCTATGTTCTGAACTGATGCCAGTATATAAAAGAATTCTAATTTAATGTTTGTCACTCTTAAAATGCAATAGCTTTGAAATCATTAGGTGTTTTAACAGCAAGTCCACTGAGTTTCTCCATCCCCAGGAAAAACATACCTAATTCTACACTCAATCTTCCTGTTGCTGTAAATAGCCCCACCATCCATTGTTTAGGCCCCAAACCTGGGAGTGAACTTGATTCATATTCAATACAACCTACTCATTTGTAAGTCCTGATGATTTTAGCTCCAAAATTCAGGCCAAATCTAACAACCACTCCTATGTGTACTATTCAAGGTGAGCCCAAGCCAGTTGTCCATCGTCTGTCACTTGCCTTCTAATTTTAATTTTCTCCCTCCCCCAAAATGTTGCCAAGCTATCTAATTCTACTGTTCATTGTCTTGGAGTAAGTTGTTTATATTTATTTATAGTCATAATATTATTTATATTTGTAGTTTATAAGGAGTAAGTTATACCTTTCATAGCTTTAAACCATGAATAGTATGTCATTCTGCTGCCTGAAGAACTCCCGTAACTTCTCATAGAAGGTAGAAAAAAACATACATATCTGTTCTTGCCCATGCATCACGCAGCAATAGCTGAGCTGGATGCTCATCTTTCTTCACTGCTGCTTCTTCCCCAGTGCAGCCATGCTGATGGCTATCTGTTTTTAGGTAGGCCATACTCCTAATTCTTCTCCTTAGAATTCGCTCTTTCTGCTCTGCAACCTCCGATTTTATCCTCAGATGCTTCTTTGTATGACTGGTTCTTTCCAATTAGCCTCACTCCAAATGTTATCTCCTTAAAGAGTCTTTTAGACCACCCTGAATAATACTTCTCTGTTGAGTCACTCTCTTTCACTGTCTCACAGAATCCTATGTAATTTTTACTGATAGAAAGTACCTGTCTTATTCATTAGTGCATTGTTAGTGATATAACAGGAGCTACTGTATGCTAAGTGCTCAGTAAGTATTTCTGAATGAATGAAGTAGGAGAGAGAGAGACAGAAAGAGAGAGAGAGAGAGAGAGAGAGAGAGTACATGTGTGTGTTTGTTTGGAGGGTAGGGTTAGTGTTTCACTCACTTTTGAATACCCTGATCATGACACAGTAATTGGCAGTTTTAGGAGCTAACAAATGATTTTTATAATTGAATTGGATTGAGTATTAATCACAAGTTTCCAAAGTTGGAGGATGTTTCAGGCATTATAGTTTTCATTTACTAATCTTACTAGGGAGATATGAGTAATCATGCCAGGTCATGAATTGATTTCTAATTCACTGAAATGAGGCAATAATACAACTTTTTACCTAGTTAGTGTTTTTTTTTTCCTTTTTACTCAGCCATGCCACTCTATAAAGTTTTCTTCCATGTCTCTAAAACACTAATAAAATGCATTTATCTCAGCACTTTACACAACGAGAATGTCAGTAGACAATAATATCATGCAGTTTCTTCAGGATCAGAATATTGGGTCCTTTCATAAGAATATTATTTGTTACTAAAATATTACCCCAAAGAATGTTATGATATTTCTTCAAATTTTATGAGTTTTTCTTCCCAGTGTTGGCATGTTTAATTAGTAATCACAGAAAATGTATTCTTAGCAAACACCAAGTTAAATTCATTTCATTATATTTAGAGTGCAACTGGGATCAGTTCATTTATTTATTTATTTATTTTTGGTACTGGGGATTGAACTTGGGACTTTGCTCTTGCAAGGCAGGCAGTGGAAGCACTGAGCTAAATCCCCAGCCCTGGGATCAGTTTAAATCATTTTCAAGTTTACACTACCAATGAAGGGTCAAGTTATTCCAAAAGTAATTTCTTATGTTTATAATTAACAGATTACATTGTTTTTATTATGGGATTATCACCTCAAGACTGGTTGTGTCAAAACTTCACTTTAGCAACAATAGGTTTTCTGATTATTAGAGAGAAAGATATACCTGCCCAAATAAACAACAAATAAATGAGACCAGGGACAAAATTGTGTTTCCTTTGTTTCTATGTTTTGGTTACATTAAAATATACTTGAGCATATTTCTAGTGAGAAAGATGATGTGTCTGTTGTATGCTAAGTATAAGCCTGACACATTCTCTGTGTATTCTTTCTCTCAGTTGGGATCAATTAGCTTCAAATATTGTAGCAACCAGATGTTGTTGTAAGAGTTCAGCAAGAGTTGTACTCTAGAGTTTTCTGAAGGGCATCTAAGTTATTTTAAATTTCTCTCACTTCATATTTTTCTGCAGTGGAAGAAGTCCAGTTCTTACTAACAACACCTTCTTTTAGTTGTTTATTTTACTTTAATAACTGTTCTAAGCCCCTCTTAATTTTACCCTGGGTGAGATGTATCATAATAGGGTGTTATGGCTTGTATCTAGATGTCCCCCTAATGCCTCATGAGGTCATAGGTGTGACTTTTCAGATCTAGTGTGCGTGATGCTTGGGTTCAAGATGTGATGCTAGGATTAAGGCTGCCACACAGTGGTATGAGTGCTACTTGCTCTAAGGGTGGGTAGCCTGGATAAATTATAAGGGACAGAAGGAGGGTTGCTGTTATCACTTGCTTACTACTTCACTACTTTGCTGCCTTCCTGCCTTCTGCTCACCATGAACTGATTCTCCTCTACAAGGCCTGCCTTGGAGTCAGCCAACTATAAACCGAAACCTCTATAAACTGTGAGCTGAAATAAACCTTCCAACTTTAACTTTGGATGTCAGGTATTTTGGCACAGCAGTGAGGAAAAGTAAGACACAGAAACAAGAGTGTGGTGTCCCCTGCAGATCCAGCACCTTTGAGTTTTACCCACAGGCTAGTCATTCTGCTGTTCCTCCACTGCAGCTTCATTTTGGAGGAGGGACAGGCTTGCTTTCCTTGATGGCAACACATAAAATATTGACCCTTTGAGTATTATAGATAAAAGAGGAAACCACTTCCAAATTGTAGGTATCAAAATATTTCTTAAGGATATATGGATAATAACATATAGGCATGCTTTTCTTTGTTATTTTTCTTCAGAATTGTTTCAAAGCTTAAATGAACACAAAGGGTCAGAATCTAATTTTATTTATAATTTTATTCCAACAAAAATATTTCAAATGTTGATTTCTGCAAAATTCATTTAAATTGGTGTCCCTTGGGACTCATTGTAGTCAGCTTTACTTATTTAAGTAATTGCATATTGCTTCTTGATATGTTAATTACATTTGAAGTAGATTTTTTAAAAAACAAAAGACATTCAGTAGCCAATGAATATTTCATAGAGGGCAACTGCCTGTACCCACTGCTTTGCATTTCACATTTTCCTGTGAGTCATTAGATTGGGCATCATATCATGTATGAGCATATCATATTTAGTAAAATCATAATTTTATGATAATGAGAATTACACCTCTTTAAAGAATCCATTATTCTATACAAAGCCAGTTTGTGTTAAGAAAAGCAACAGAATTAGACATTATATAAGTTTAATTTAAATATTTTATATGAATTATAAAGACTTGCTACATGTAAAAGTACACCTGTGCCCTGAAAAATTGCATTTGTTCCTTCAAATTTCAATTGGTCTTTTAGTAAATAATCTTCTATAAGAAATCCAAAATTATAAATTAGTTTTGTGCAAGATTTGAAAAAATTTACTTTTCTCATTTTGAAAAAAAATAGCAACATGTTGAAGAGACAAATTTACCTGGTCCTTGAAAGAAATCAAGATAAAGTAATGACTGAGTTAGTACCATGTAATAACCTGTAACAACAATGTAAGAACAGTATAATAACCTGACAGAGCTGAGCTCTTGCAACTATTATACTAAGGTACCTTGTAAAGCAATAGAGAATGAACTTATATTTAGAAAAATTATCGATGTGATCTCATTCTCTTAAAGCTTGCATTTTTTTCTAAAAATGCACACAGATTTTGCATACTATCCTAACTCATCTTCATAGTTCTAAGTTATAAAATAAGTGACATATCACCAAGTAAATTGCTTCACTGGGAAGTGGCATGATTTTTACCCTATTGGCTTTCTAAAAAATATTTGTAAGGCACAATGTGGTATTCTTCTAGAATTTAGGAAACATCATAGCATGTGGCCTTGGGATAGACTGTAAGAGAATGTAGTGAGTTTGGCTGAAGTTAACTGGTTTTACATATTTTTTATTTAGTAAATATTAAAATTAATTTGTGTTTTTTGAATGCAAACAATTGGGAAATTATTTCAAAATATTCTTTATGTCACTGGAGAAAGAATTTGAGATTAACAAATTATATTAGCTAGAAAATATGACAGTCAAATTGATTTTTCCATAAACATTTTTGCATGAACTTCAACTGCTCTATATTCAGAAGCTTGGAATTTTGCATTGTTGAATGATCTCTTAGGATTTTCACAGTTTATTTGATTTTGTTCTTTTTGTTTCAGGCCAGAAATTACAGAGACCTTCAACAGCAAATTTACCACTTTCTAGCACTATTAAAAAGAGCTCCAACTGCCTTTCATCCTCTCATCCTCGATCAAGAAGTGCAGCTGCTCGGCCATTACCCAGAGCTGCTTCTGAAATTTCAGAAAGTGAATGTATTGATACGACCAGGCAGAATGTGCCTTTCTTAGATAACATAGCTTATCAGCCATCTTTAGACAGTTCAGAGAAAGAATCAAATATGCTTAGAAATCTTGAAGTTAATGCTATTTTATTCATTGCAGATAATGGTTAACTCTATCGTTTCCCTTGTTCTTTACAATCTTACTCTAAAAGATAAACACTCCAATGAAAAAAGCTTCCCTTCTTAGCCTAAGCCTTCAGGTTTTGTGTCTATTTCCTTGGCATCCCCTGGTATTACTCTAAAAAGTTTATAAATGCGGGGCTGTCCATCCACACCAGTGATGGCCCATAGTAGCCTGCACAATGCACCTCAGAACTGTGGCATAAGGAGTTTCAAATGGGCATACAAACAACACACATACAAAAGACAACACCAACAAAACCCACATTTTTTTCCTTTCTACAAAACCAGTGAAGAGTTAATCTCTGTAACTTTATGAAAGCTAATGCTCATCATCCTAGTTGGAAAATGAAGCTGGTAGATCTCACAAAGCAGTGCTTCTCTGATTTTTGTACATACACAGATTCCATGGGGAACTCATTAAAATGAAGATTGTGATTCAGTGTGTTCAGGGTAGGGTCTGAGATTGAACACATCTAACCGGTACATTGGTGTATGAGTGGTGCTATTTAGTACAGTTGGAGGAGAAATTATGTTTTTGCATTCAGTTTCCAACCTCAATGAATGTATTTTATCAAACAGTGACCATATTCTTGAACACATAAAAAGATCTGGTTCAACAACTAATTGTCAAGGGACATACTCCTCTTATTGTCACCAGCAAGACATGTGCTTCAACTTCCAAAGAAACCAACTGAAGATCTAAGAGGCAGGCTAGAAAAATCACTGGTTCTATGCATTTTAAACTTAACCTCTTATTTTTGCTATTGGTGGTGTCCTCAGTGTCTTCAGTGATTTTCAAAATGTTTCATCTTCATTTTGAGAAATTTAAGCAATAAAAATACAAAAAGGCCAACCCCCCCCAAATCTTACTGCTACCCTTAAAATAAACTTCATTAACTTCAGTGATCTTCTTTTTAAATATCTGTTTGTATTATAAGTAAAAATAAAAACAACTCTGGAGGATGAGTAGATTTGAAGGAAAAGGCAATAATTTTGTAAAATAGACTTACACTTCTCTACTGGTACATTTAAACATATAGATAGATGTGCTGAATTTGGCAAAAATTATAGTGAAACTGAAGGAAATTGTATATTTTTGATAAGTAGTTTTGTACCATAAAATATTACCAAGTTGAAATCTATGAAATCATGCTTTTGTAGATCAAAACAATATACACTTTTATGCATTATATGATTTTTACAAATATTTCTTTAAAAATTAAGGAAAAACATGAATAAACAATAGGCAATTGGGGTCATTAGTAACAATGCCTTTTAGTTTTCTTTTTAACATCTTTTAGATTATAAACTGAATATTCATACATTTTAGGTATACAATACAGTTACATTCATCATTGGTATCTTATAACTTCACATGACATATCTTGGCTCTTATTTTTTCCCCATTTCCCTAGCCTCCCTTCCCCCTTCCCTCTTCCCTATAACTTTTAGTTTTCCACAGTACCAAATCTTTATTAGAAAATATGAAGAATAATTTGTTTATATTTTTAAACCATGTACCAATCTTGATATTATTGAAGACACCCTGTGATAGGATTTATTATTTTGTCAATATTTCTTTCATTTCACGTGTGTGTGAAAATTCATATGGAATGAATGCTCAGTATTGACATTTTCCCTATGAATTCCTTATCTTGAGCCTTTTATTTTGATTCCTCAGCAGAAAGTTTCATTATGTAACTCTTGATAATGTCGATCTTTTATCTATATCATTGATTGACACATTAGCTAGATTTATTTAATGTATCATAATTTCCATTCCTTCGTACTTTGAATACATTTCTCTCCCTACCCTCAATATGGTGCGGGCTACTCCTTCTTCATAGTTGTTCCATTTGAATTTTGTTCGATTGAAATAATTGTCAAATAGTTTTTTCCCTTCAGGTAGTGTTCATGGTAGGTCTATTACATGAGATCTTTCATGTTTGAAAATGTCTGCTACATTATATTTGAATTACAAGTGGGCTGAGAGTAATAGCCCTGGGTCTTCTTTAACCTTGTGCATACTGATTTGCTATTTTCTAGCTCTGAATTCTGTTGTAAGGTAATATAAAACCATGCTAATTTTTTACCACACCTTCTGTCTTGAATATGACAAGTTTCTTTCCTACTTGATTATTTGAAAAACTTTTTCTTAGTCCTTGAAATTCAGTAATTCAATAAAGACTGGGTTTCAATGTCAGTAATTCAGTATTCTTTAAATGGTAGATTTCTTTTTCTACAGACAGAATAGATTCCTTCATGTTTGCAGGAAAATATTTTGCTTTTGTATACTTTAATGGTTCCATTGGGCTTTCTCTTGCTAAGAAATCCATTTTCTTTGTGTCTTCTTGAAATAATATATTATGTTTTCCTTGGTTATTTCAACTAGATTTTATTTACTTTTGTGTTTATTATAATTAATGTTTTGTGTTTATTGTAATTAATTATATTAAGATTAATTAATTAATTTTAAGATTGTCATATAGGCAATGATTTTCTTTTTCACCTGTTTATAGTTTACTCTATCATTTTCTTTTTTTAAGGAAGTACTTCTTAAAAGCTGTTAAGTTTTTCTTTGACGCCTTTGGATAGCTTTTTATTTTAATAGAAACTCCTGGGTACATGATATGCTTTACCACTTTAACACAAGTATGGAGAACTTTTTCTTCTGAAAGACTCTGAAATAATAATAAGCATTGTGACTAATACATTCTTCTGCGTATATTTACCCAAATAAGAACATCTCTTACATAATATAGTACAATGATTAAACTCAGGAAAATTAGCACTGATACAATACGAAGCATATTTAACATCTTCAATTTTTTTCTGTTTGGTTTTTTTTCCCCTTTCAAGATCTAATTCAATACTAGATGACTATCTAATAATTTCCCTTCAGTATTTTTGACATATTTTTCTTTGATTTTTGAAATTAACTTTGCTCAACCAAAAGCTGATTTTCATAGCTTCTTTTGTAGCCAAAAGATTTTTGAGGAATTTTCTTACTGTTATAATATAGGTGTTGACCAGATTATTCTCTTATTTCACCATCTTTTGCATGTTATAATCTTGGATTTTAGTTTGCTGTTATAACCAGCTGCTGTGTCATTCCTTTGTATCTTACTTTTCCATGCTTATTGTGGATGGCTTTGTTGATAACCTCTGCCTTTTGTAGTAATACTAAGACAGTCCCCTGCCCACCCCGTTCATGTGCTGAGAGCAGGCCGTCTTTCCTTTGGAGCTACCATTTGGACTTGGGTGTTATTATTTCTGTATCCTGGCATCTTAAAGGCAGGAGGAAGAACATAGAACTGGGAATTATTAGTCTCTTCTTGAAATGTTCAGTCTTGCTTTTTTCCTAGATTTATTAAATATCAAGCCTCATTGACCTGAATTCAAGCATGGTCTCTCTGTCAGGCACACCTACAAATTTTATCTGTTATGCTAAGATCAAATTGGTGGGTATCTAGAGGCTTTAAATAGACTTCAAACATGTTCCTCTCACTCCCCTTCACATACTTTTTATCCACATTGGGGTAAACAGGGTGAGACTTGCTACTTTTTTTGATGACTCTCCTTTTCTATTACTACTTAAGTGTTTATGTGTTGGCTTGGGTGGCAAGGTAGAGAGGAATGGAACCTAGCACATCTCACTACATCTTATTTCTCTGGTTGTACCTTGTAAATGTTTATTATGTGAGATTATATCCTTTTTTGGTTATTTTATGATCTTACTTTTTTTTTGGCTTTTTCTATTTACATCATTAGAGATTAAGGAAGAAGAATCTATGATATCTTGTTACTTTTACATGTTTGCCTTAAGCTTAGTTACTAAATAATCAACTAAATAATGCCAATTATGAAATGAAGCATGTCAAGTTTGTACTGAATCTTAAAGGATAATCACACTGATTTTAATCATAATATTCTTCTTAATGTGATAAAATTGATATATTCCATTATTTACAAATAAAATATAGTTTACAAACAATTTTTCATTAGCCTTTCCAGCTTTTCCATTGCCTTTTTCATTTGGGGTGTATTGTACTTCGCCCCTTATTTTTGTCAGTTCTCTTCCCACACTAACAGGAGCATTTGCACTGGAACACACAGCACTTGTTACTTTTGAGAGCAAGCGCATAACGAGCAGCCTGTGCACTACCAGAGCTTTTCCATTAGTCCCGCAGCAAAGGCTCACTTGCACGTGTACTTAACCCAGCACTGACTTTCTTTCCAATGGGAAGATTGACTTCAAATGAGAACACATTATTTGAGGCAGTTCACCTGATACTCCAAGGAAGAAAAGAATAACACCTCAACGGAATCAACCTCGTGATCAGGGAGGTGACAGATGCTACCACAAAGTGCAACCTCATTGTTGAGAACTGACTGATTCTGCACAAGGTCTTTGTACTCTGTGTAACATCAGTAGGCAGAAAAATTACATCCACATTTCATTATACATGATGCAGTCTGGAAAATCTCTGCAAGGTTTGGTCTAACAGCCACAGCCACACATTCTGACTCTTACACAAATGTAAATTTGTTTGCATCCCTGTGAGCTTTGTTGTTGTGATCAGCAACCCTGCTGACATGTTTTCTGCTACTTCTAGGATGCATTCACTTCGTTTTTCTAAGCTCTGTTTACACCAACTGTGCCAAGGAGCTGGGAGGGTAAAAGGCAGAAAATACATATTTAGTAAACTATTTCTGTGCTGGTTGTAAGAGACGTGTGTGTGTGTGTGTGTGTGTGTGTGTGTGTGTGTGTGTGCATACGCGCACAGTTTATTGTGATTACTGATGAACCAGGAAATGGGAAAAAACAAACCAGGAAAGTTGAAAGCTTGACTCAGGGTCAAGGTGTCTGTTTTGAAACTTGATATCACCAATTAATAGCTGCATGAGATTGGGCAAATTGCTTTCTTAATATCTTTTGTATTTTGTATTATGTGTGAAAGATGAGGGTTATAATAGGATCTAGTTAATAAAATCCATAATTAAATGAAATTATATGTGTGATATAATATTTCTGATAATCCCTTTTCACATGAATTTGAGTGTTTAGGACATAGTAAGCTTTCAAAGGAACTGCTGTGTTAAAAGAGGAAATTTGTGTGCGGTAATTACTACATACAGCAAGGTAGGCTGGTCTTTATAAGCCCAAATTTTAGTTGTAGAATTGGTTTTCATTCTAAACTATGATTTCTCTGGACTGCTTTGGGGATTGTGGCTAGTTATAGTTCATGCTATTTATTACTTTCAACAAATGTATATGTAAAAAACATTATATTTACTTTCTTAATAAGCTCAATATATCAAAATAATTTTATTTATTAAGGTACCTTGTCAGGTTTTGGATAGTGCTAAAGACTAATGAAGTCTGAAAATATCTGAAAATATGCGTTATGAAAAAAATTAGTAATAAAGCACTTCTAAATATTTACTTCTTTACAGTTAAAAATAATTCATTTCTTGCAAAGTCATTCTGATTTGAATTTCCTGTTGAACCTTAAGTTCCAATAATAATCTTTTGTTTGTACAAGTACACAGTTAAGTGAACTGAGTATTAAAGAGAGGAATGTACTTTTCCTGAAACAATCTATCTGCTTCTAATAGATCCAGCACTCCTGTTTATGAAAAATCACACAGTCACTTCTGCGGAATTGGAGTCTCTGAGTATGAACATTAAACATTACATTAAACTGTAAAAGCACTGATCTGATAAGGTTTTAGTTACAAATTACCTAGATCACTCTTGTAATGACAGCTAGATTATGATAGACTAAAATGGCAGTCTCTTTGCTTTAGGATGACTTTGAATTACAGAAAAATTGAGTATATATACCAGTGAAAATCAACGTTAAAATTAATACAAGGAATAGGAAACCATTCCGTGAGTAATAATAATCACTAGTTGTTTTATATGTAACATTGCTTTATTTTGTATTGGTACTGACTCACGAGGCAGCTGAGGCAGGTACTCTTGTTAATTATTTCTTTTCAGGTTCAGCAGTGTAGGTTCTGAGCAATGAGGAACTGCCTTTGGTTTCCCAGGTTGTGTCTAAGTGGAGTCAATCCAGGGACAGACAGACCAGCCTCCACCACTGTATTACCTAAAATTTCCACTTCAATCAATATTGTGACCACTACTGAGGGAGTGAGTGGGCAAAGTCCAGGTTAAGGGATGAAAAGCCCGGAAGGAAAATGAAGAAGAGAGAAAAACCAGATAAGACATGGTGGAAGAAGGGAAGAGATATGGAGGGGATGGGCAAAAGGAGGTTGAAGAGAGAAGAATGGGCTCACCTGTTTTAGGATGTGTTCTCTTGTTCTCACATGGTAAATGTGTCTATGTAGCTATGTAGCTATGGAAGATAGTATCTAAGGAGCTTTCTTCTTCTTGTTGCTGTTTATTATTGCAAAATAGCCAAACTGATTGGTTCCCATTCATTGAAGTTTTAACTTATCATTTGATCCTTTTTCTCCTTCTTTCCTCTCTTTTATTTAAGTAGATATGCTTTTTTGTGTGGAATTCAGTTCTCTATGTGTGTTTTTAATAAGTTTAGTTGTAGAAATGTACCTTGAAATTCTATAGTCAAATTTTCTCCCTTTGTCTGATTGCTTGTTATTGTGTTTAAAGATTTCTCAGTGATCAGAGAACATAAACTTAACTCCAGGGATAGAAATGGTTTAATTTCAATTTATTCTTTTATAAGCAGCTGATTCCCAGTTACAGATTACATTTACAATGTAAATGTCAGTTGATCCTGTATTAGAAAAATCAGGACAATTCAAATTTTTATGTTTTGGGCATGTAGGTCTAATGCTAGCTCACAGTATGGTTTTCTTAATAGTTTTATTTTTCTCGGACTTAGTTTGGCATGACCTAAAATAAAATGATGTCACTTTTACTCCTGTTAACGGCACAGAGTACAATGAAATATAATTTTGGAAATTGATAATTTTACAGAATTGGCTCATTCTATTTGTACTATCTGTGCTTAGTGAGAAATCAAACATACACTGGGATTTGAATATCTCTCCTGGTGGAATTTTTTTAGATCTAAGCCATACTGATGGGTTTTAGCAATGCAATTTTGCCCGTTCCAAACCCTAAATAGGTTGTTTTCCTAGGGGAACATTCCTTTTCTTTGGCCGTTTGTATGTGCCTTCAGTACACGTCTTTTCTCATCTTGTGGAAAATAGGAGAGGAGATAATAGGTTGAACATGAAGATTTACACTCTTGGTAAGCTAAAGGAGGCAAGGCTAGCTCTAGTTTTTCCACAGTGTTGATGAGTGATTTTCCACATTACTATCTCTCTTTGGGCTCCCAATTTTCTAATCTTTAACAAGTTGAAGTGAGAATAATTAAATATCTTAAAAAGTTTTTTAAAAAATCTCATGAATCTTTATATTTTTATCTTAAATTAACCTTATATGGAGTTCCTAAATTTAAACTAGTTCAGGTAAAGCTATCATGATTGCTCTGGGGATGGTGAGGGCAGAAACTTTATTCAAAACCTGCTGAATTTATCCATGTGTCATAATGTAACAGTCATTGAACTAAAAAATTTAAGGACACTTCCATCTGTAAATGTACTGAAGTCTGTCTTTCTGTAGGAATAGTGTAGTTTTACATAATTGGGGAGTTTCTGCTTGCTCAAGAACATCAAGGCACTGCTAATGATTTCACCTTCTAAATGCATTCATTAGAGGGCAGAATATTTGCACCTTAGGGTATGGACCCCTGACTAGGAAGATGGATACCTGGAGTTATTGTAGGCGTGAAGAGAACAACAGCATACAGTAATTTTGACAGCCTTAAAAGTCATCATACTAAACCTCTGTGCATAAGTTAGATTTTACAGGTTTGTAATGTCAAAAATGACACTAATGTCTTTTTTTTTTCTTTTATTGAGTTTATTGGTATATTTCAGGTATACAGTAGAGTTACATTCATTACTGGGATCTTGTACCTTTACACGACAGTCCTTGGTTCTCATTTTTTCCCCTTGTCCCTGCCCTCCCTTCACCCCCTCCTCCCCTCCCCATTTACAAACGCTTTATTTCTATTTTTTCATTTTCTCATATTTTTTTCTTTTCCCTTATTACCTTTCACCTACCCTTCCCATTTTCCCTACACCTTTAGCCTCTTTCTTCCTATTTCACATGGTCAATTATCTCATTAGGATCTTATGTACTATTATAGCTTTTCACACCAGAGAAACTATTCAGTATTTACACATGTGACACTAATGTCTTTTTCAACACAGTAACATTTATTTTTATACTTGGATTTGTGTTAGTTTTCCTAAAATATTTCATTTATTTAACGTGTGCTATTTGCCCATTCCCAGACTGAATCACATACCAGCTTGATGTAAAGTAGGAAGATTTAAGGTTATTCTCCCTCCAAATATAAATGGTTATTTACCCAACAGAACAAGAAAGTCAAAAAGAAAGAGCAGCTTTGTCAAGTCTAACCTTTTCTTTAGAGTGTGTGGGGTAAAGATTTTATTTTTTAAAAGCAAAGAACAGAAAATAAAGTGCCTCATATATAGGCAAACTAAAGAATTGTTCAATAATCTATCTTTTTAAGGTGGTTCATTTGATTTTCTTTGAAATGTTATGAATTATGAGGATATTAACATTTCTTAAATATAATGTATATTTAAAAATGAACATGATTAAGGTGCCCGACATCCCTTATTTATTTTGTTAGTTATGTGTTTGTTTGTTTACTTTATTTTTGGTGCTGTGGTTAGAACCTGGGTCCTCCTCCATTCTAAGAAATAACTCTACTATTTATTTATTTATTTATTTATTTATTTATTTATTTATTTATTTATTTATTTATTTTTCCCATTGAGTTTATTGGTACTTTTTAAGCATACAGTACAGTTACATTTATCAATGGGATCTTGTACCCTTACTTGACAAATCTTGGTTCTCATTTTTTCCCCATACCCTGCCCTCCCTTCACCCCATTACCCCCTCCCCTACTTACAAAGACTTTGTTTCCATTTTTTCCTTTTCTCATATTTTTTCTTTTCCCTTCTTTCCTTTCCCCTACCCTTTCTTTATACCTATGACCATCCATGTCCTAATTTGGAATCTCAGATCAAGCATACCTCACACTCCACCATCGCACAAAAGCCAGAAAATTAAGAAATAATTGAAAATATCTTCTGACTTTCTGTTTTACTTCTAGTTTATTCTGGGTAAACTTCTAGCATCATAGGCTGTGCATTTGTTTTTTAAATTTATGTGTTGACAATGCATGCAATAAAATATTTCAGATCCTTCAGAAAAACTTTACAATCTAACCTCAGAAGAATTACCAGCTTTCAACAACCATTCCCTGAAGAGAAGTCAGATTTCTTCAGATGTTTTCTACCCCTCAAATGTGAGGGGCCCCTGTGGAGTTGAGGAGCTAAGGTAAATTCAACCTGCAGTTTATACATAAAGATAGTGCACAGCAAACTTGGGACAAGTCCCAATTAGTTATTTTACTATATAAAGAATAATTGCCCTCATGTGTGTAATTTAGCTGACCGTTCTTTGCAAAATGTTTGGGTTTTTTTGTGACATATTACCAGGATTTAGTAAATGGCTTATGGAGCTGATGTTTTAATGTGACAAGATAGCTCTCTGCTGAATAATATATGTCATAAAAATGAAAATACACCTGGAATTTAATAATCCTACATTTTTATGTCAAGAAACAGTTGTATTACTTGAATTAATTAATGCAATAAATTTCAATATTTTGCAATAACAAAATGTTATCCAATATATACAAACTGTTAGAAAAGTATATTAAGGGTTTTTCCTTAAAATTGGACCTAGATTATTAACAATATTTTAATATGTATCATTTAATTATTTCCTCATATACAATAATGACAGGGTGGTGATCAGTTTATAAGGAATGCAGGTGATACTAATAACTGCTTCAGAAAAGTAATATATCATGTTTGTATATTATTGACATACCAGATGTTTGGAGAAGGAAGATGTATCTTTTTTAGAGAGACAAAGATAGCTATAAATGTAAACCCTTTGAATAATGTTTCTTTGGTTCTTTTCAAGTCTAATATTGCAATAAAAAGGAATCAAGAGTGTCACTTTGTCTTTCTAAAGGAGATAATCATTTAGCTATGGTTCTTGGACTTTTGAATTTCTAACACCATCTATAGTCCTTTAAAAAGAGAAAGCGACCTTTCTAGAAAAGTATACAGCAGGTTTAAAACCATTACTGTCTGTGTGTTAAAAATCCAAATTTTCTGTTTCTTTGGGACAGAAAATTGCATGTGAGGTGCTATCATCAAATTTCAATTACATAGTAAAACCAGATGCCACAATGAAATCCCTCAAAATGGAAATAAAACTCTAATTTTTTTAACATTCTGTAAATAAACCTGAATGTGTTTTTTAAAAAGAAGAATCAATGAGGATAGTATTTTTTCCTTTAAAATGTTATTAAAAGCAAACTAAACCCAGATGTACTTCCACCCTCATGTCACACAAGAAAAGATATTCAAAAATTCAAAAGGTTATGCTAAAAATGTAAGGAGAGCACACAAACAGTAAAATGTAACATAGTATAGAAAGTCACTGTCTTTTCCTTCTCTTCTTTTCTTGGTTGAGTGAAAACTATCACAGTTATATGTACACTAACTCACAGGCTAGAGTGTATTAGCTGCTGAGTGACCCTACTTTGGACTGGAAAAAGTAATCCTAATAGAATTATATTCACCGTATTTCAACTTTACTTGCACACATGGGCTGGAAATCTAGATAACTGCACCAAAACCTGAATGGTATAGGTGCCTTCCTTTTGCTCCACACGTGCTCCTAGATCTCAGGCACCTGTGTGCTAGAGCATCTGCCGGTCCTGCCGCCCCCCAGAATAAAATGCAACAGAATAAAATAACAAATAATGGCTGTCATTAGTTTTAGTTTTGGCATTTCTTACCTGGCTATCCTTATAGTCCTAATTTACTGTACACAAAAGAGGTGATTTACCTGGCAGTCTAATCACTGGGATTCCCTTAAACAGCCAATCTGATGATGAATATCCTTAATGATGACCCTGAAGGTCTGAGATTTGCTGGAAGACCTTCTGAATCATTGAGGAAAAGACCAATCAGGGACCATAAAATCTCTCTCCTTGCATTCACTGTGGCCTTATTCCTTGGGAGAGGGAGAATATTGAGAAATTCCATTAAAAGGAAGTTGGTACACTGGGCACATTGAAAATTGTGGCCCCAGTCTGCTACAGCCCATTTACATCTGCCTGAGTCCATTGATTTCAACATATGTGGTATTGATCAGAAGACAAATGAAAGTTGAAAGTTGATTCTGTATATTGTGTATTGATCTCTTAATACATTTCTAGCTCTTCTGGAGAAGATACCAAAATGCAGTCTTCACTGTCACTTTCTGAGAATCATACAGATGAGGAGAAAGAAGATTTTCTTGACAAGCAACTTGTCATCACAGCATCATAGTCAAAAAGTACTTAAAGATCACCTGTTTGTTACTTTTTCATTTTGTACTCAGAGTAAAGCAAACAACATAAAAAAGTAACTGATTACCTGACCAGGTGTTGGAGATTTTTTTTATTAATGCTGCTAATGTTTCAAGGCTTGTAAACAAAGAAAAAATAATGAAATTAAAAGTTAAGTGCTTTTCTCTCAAATAATGCATTGTATTTCAAATACTAACATTTCAGATTATATTAGCAAAATTTTGTAAATTCTAAGGAATATTTATAATTATCTCTATAAAGCCTACTGCAGGGAAAACATAATTTTATTTAAAGTAATACTTCATTGTTAATTATATTTCAAGAAAATATGTCATTGAGAAGAATACATATTTGATGACCAAGTCAGAGTAGTCACAATCTTAAATTGAACCTTTAATTTCACTGTTTTTTTTCTTTAGGGGTTCTGTAATGTTTATAGCATTTCTATAAGTTTCAAAAACTGGTTCTAGAAGGAAGAAGATCTGAAATAATTTGGACAGAATGCCTGTTATGCTCTGTTCTAGGAGTGATAGAAAAGCAACCCAAAACATCTTATTTTGGGAAGATCAGTGAAATGGTTGTTTCTCTCCCTCCCCTTACCACACACACACTCAAACACACATCCTGTTGATCATGTTTCTCAGGAGAACCCCAAAATGACAGTTTGAAGGACTGTTGGTGCTACTCAAAGGGAATAATCCTGTGGAAGTGTTTCGGTGGTATTGCAAGGTAGCAGATCCTGGGTTTGAATCAAGTTTTTGTATGATGTCATAGTCCGAGGGAAGATACAGGGAATAGTTTTGTGGTTGTCATTTTGAGGCATCTTAGCATAGTTTTCTTTAAAGAGTTTGATGATATATCAGAAAAATATTTCTGAAGATTGGCTATACTCTCACTACAAAATAGCCATGCCTCAGTGTTCTAATTCTTGTGTTTTTTGTGTGCCTGAGTAGTAAACCCCCAATACAAGACTAATGGCTATTCAACATAAATTTACCTTTGATAATTTTCCATGGCACCAATACATTGTCTTATACTTCTCATAGATATGATAGGATATAAAATGATGAAGAGACTTACAGCTTTTCCTGTCTCTCAATATAAAAATGTCTTTTATTGAAAGTGAATAATGTATGTATATGGACAAAAACAATAAAAAGTCAGTCACATTATTAGAATGAAATATGCAAAAAAATTGAAAAAGAATATGACCCCATAATAATTTTTACTTTGCTCTTAGTACTTGCTCCCTTCCAATCCTATATATACACACAACAATGAGTCATTTTAAAGTTTTCATTATTTGTATCAGAAGTCCCTGTGGCATCTTGTACTGAGGTTGCTGAATTTCAGTAGTCATAGTTAAAATGGGGATTGCTTGTTTTATTAACATAGCAACATCTTTTTAGCATGTCTTCTCAGTTTTAAAATTTCTTAGTTCTCCTTTGCTCTGAGATGTCTTATTCCCTTCTGGTGAAGAAACAAATTATTCCTTTGGATGTGATGCATAAAACTTCGATGCTTTTTTCAAAGTTAGAGGGAAGTTTTCTCTTATTCTTGTTAGAAAAGGATTGGGCTACTATTAACCCTTCTGTGTGTTCAGACATGACTTCATTCTTTTGTGAACTGCCTCAGGAAGTGGTTTTTTAGGATGTCACTGCTTTGTACAACACAAATTTTTGAAATAAACGTTACACAGATAATTATTTGTCATCACTGTATCACTGTCCCAAATTTGCAGAAAGGGGTGTAACACACGGACTTTGTCATTTGACTTCCAATATGATATTGAAATTGAGTGCAAGGAGGGTACTCTGTGTCCGAGAAGAACCAACTTCCTTCTGCCATTGTCTGTGTTCCATAAGCACACATTTAGAAAGTTCCTTAATTCCATTACAATTAGTGTAATGAGGGATTAAAAACTAAGTAAGATTAGAGTCTTTGCCTGAAGCAGCTTCAATGTGTTTTCTCATTTTGAAGCTCTAGTTTAAAACTACTATTAAAGACTCACATCATGTTGTAACTATGGAACTGATAGAATTACACAGTTTTCAGAAGAAGCTCAGACATAGTAGTTTACTGAGGTTAGCGCATATTCCTTTAGCAACTTTTTGTAACAGATCACATGGTTTTGCATGCACGTTAACCTTGGTTGTTCGTGTCTACATGTGCAGAATTCTGTGATAGCCATATGAATTTTTCTAATTTTGAAAACAAAGTGATATTAAATGTTATTGTATGGCTTTAATATGTTATCTGATATCCATTGAAGCTATTCACGTCTACTATACTGTAGTGCACACAACACAGGCCAGTAGTGCCTGATACCTCTAAGTTTACTTAGAACTATGCTGTATATGTGGTGGGCATGGAAAACATTTTCTTGAACAAGTGAGTGTTTCAAAATAGCTTAGCTTTTGTTTTATGGTACTCAGATAATTTAAATAAAGAATCGATTCAGAAAAAGCTAACCTCTCTGTCTCTATAGTTCAATTTTTGGAAAGATCTTAAACAATGCTCATCTCATACATGTTTTGGCAAGTGCTTTTTCTCCCTTTTTAGGTCTTAAAATACACCTTTTCAAAGATACATCTCTCATTTCTATGGAAATTAATCTTCCTTATGTTTCCTTTATTTTTTTCTCATGATACCCTGTTTTTTCCTCCATAAACTAATGATCAATGCATTTGCGTACTTTTGGAGATATGTTTTGCAACTAGACTTTAAGTTTCAACTGAGCATTATGTTCACTTTGTTTACCACTATACACAACCCCAGTAGATGCTAAGCGAACAGGGGAGGTTATTAGTGAAAGAATATTTTTCAGGATTCAACTGGTAGGTCTTGTTAAACCCTAACTTCCCAAGAGGAAGATGATATGATACAGGTGGTGAAATAAGTGCAGGTTCTATCATCAGTTTATCAGATATATTCCGAGAACCGAACTGATGAATGCAAAAATCACTTTGGAACCTAGAAAGGGCTCTGACATGCTTTTTTATAATATTTCTTGAATTTGTGCCATGTTAACTGAATATATAGACAAATTAATCGTAAATCATTAAATGAATTTAGGGCCAAGTTGACATAAATGATCCTCTAAAATCATTCAGATTCATAGGTGGGGCATGCTTTCAGTAAGTGGAAAATTAGGTTGAATTATGTTGAATGATACATAATGCTAGTACTTACATTAAAAGTAAAATGTCCAAATTTATTTTATTAAAATGTTTCTGAAAATGTTGTTTTCTGTGCCTATAGCTTTTTTCTATCTAGTTTAAATGTTTAAAATAATAAGATATACTAGCACTATCTGAAGACCCTGTACATCATACCTCCACAGAGGGAAAAAACTTAAAACTATTTATACCTCCCCAAACCCATTTTTATAGGATATTCTGTTTCATCATAATTTTCATTCTTGGTTATTTATTACTAGCTACATTTGCATGAAAGCAATGTTTATTTCCCCAGAGTTCATCTGTGCCTGTAGTTTATCCACTACCTAAAGTCATAATTCTTTTTTAGTGACACCCTGATTGTGCACTGGGTAAATGATTACGATGTTGCCAAACTATTATGACTTTAGCTGAGAATAACCAGCAGGCAAAGATGAAATCTAAGGAAATAAAGAACCTCCTTTTTTAGTGCAAATGTCTTCTGTAGTTAAGGCAAAAGAGAGGATATTTTTAACCTCCAAGAGGTGTAACAGGTATATTCAAATTGAAAAGAATTCCTTGATTGATAGGGTTTTTAAAGATGCATATAATACACAATAACAGTTATGGAAACGTAAGTCTGAAAGGAATTTCTGTACTTTTACTTTTGCCAGAAGGAAGTGATACGTATATTTTGTCTAGAAAAAAGAAACACATTTTTTAGATGCAAATGTTATTAAAAATTTCTAAAAAAGAGTGGAGGGAATGAAAACTTCATCTTTATGTTGCAATTTATGAAGCTTTATATATTTAACATGACTGTGAAAGAAATGTTTTAAGGTATTTTTATGAATTTTCATATTTTCCATATAGTCATATTTTAAAAAGATCACATTTGTTGCTCATTTAAGTGATGATGGTGCTCCTAAATATCTCTGTATTTTAAAATGAGAACTGAAATCACAAGCACAGTCAGGAGGTGAAGAGATGTATACTTTATTTACTGTTTTTAAAATATTCATCACTCTTCCTTTCTTCTCTGACTTCCTAGACCAGAACCCTAAAAGAATATATTGTAGATTAAGCCATTGAATCAGTTAAGAATTGATTTAAATTTTTAAGAAAAAAACAAGAAACAGTATAGGAAAACTCAAGTTTATTTCTTTAGTATGGAAATTAAGTCTGATAATAGGCAGTCAAAAGCAACTAAGGCAGCATATTGTCTTACTGTGCTGTTTTATTCCCTAAATCACCTCATCAGCTAAAATTCTGTTAGATTTTAAGCCATCAGAGTGTGAGATTTGGGTTCAGAAAGGGAGAATTGAGAAGAACAAATTAGCTCCTAACTGAAGTAACTTTCTTTAAATTACTTTTTCTTTTTTAAAAAAAAATTATTTCGTTCTGGAAGTCTAACCAAATACTTTTTCTTGTATCTTCTTGGCCATCATTTAGCCATGTTTAGATAAAATGAAAATGTGATTGATTAAAATTGGGATTATATTAAGAAGAAATATTCAGAGAAGGTATATTGAAGACAACTAGTATCTGTTGTTCAGATCCATAGCTATCATCATTACTGGTCTTCAGCTGATTATTTTTATGACATGGATTTAGCAGTCGTTGTGATTTGAAATATGTGGCATTTGAAGTCTAAATAAGCCACATTTAAATGGACTGTTATTCATTGGTCATTAGAGAGATGCAGATGAAAACAACACTGAGATTCTACTTCACCCCACAATGAATGGCTGCGATCAAGAAATCAACCAATAACAAATATTGGCAGGGTTATGAGGAGAAAGGAACCCTTCTCCATTGTTGGTGGGAGTGCAGACTG